GCAGTATGCTATCCCAATTTGACTGGTCGAATGAAGCGTACATGGCCAGCATATATCCAAGTGTACGATTAAAACACTCTGTCATCCCATCAGTTTGCGGGTGATAGGCTGTGGTAATACGGTGGATGATGCGACACTCGCTCAACAACGCTTTGATGACATCGGAGAGAAAAATGCGGCCGTGGTCGCTTAATAACTCCCGAGGTGCTCCATGCCTTAAAACCAGGTTTCGCAGTATAAAACATGCAACGTCTTTTGCGGTAGCAGAAGGTAACACAGCTGTTTCAGCGCATCGCGTTAGGTGGTCGATAGCGACAATGACCCAGCAGTTGCTACTCCAAGTATAGGGAAGCGGATCATAAAGATCAATTCCGAATCGAAAGTTCGTGTTGGACACGGCAATGGCTGCAAGGCACCTGTGGCATGTTGAGCGGGCATTTTGCATCGCTGGCACATAAGGCAACACCTTACGTAACAGTGAACGAAACGGTACATACCGCGCCGGTAGAACTGCAGCTGCAAGTGAGTGTATGTTTTTAACCCAGCAGCGTGGCCACATTGCGGATCATCGTGGAACGTGGCACAGATATCAGAGCGCAGATGTCGGGGAATGACGAGCAACCACTTATGGCCGATCGAGCTGTAGTTTCGGCGGTAAAGCAGGTTATCCCGAATAGCGAAGTGTTGTGCTTGACGGCGAAGCGTCCTGGAAACTGGAGTGGGCGTCCAGTTTGAGAGAAAGTTCAAAAGAGAAGAAATCCAAGCGTCTTTGCATTGCTCGGAAGGCACGTGCGGAATGCTGATGGCGAAGGCAGCACTGGTGGAGATAGGCGAGCCGACGGGCTCTGAAGTCAATAACGAACGTGACAGGGCATCGGCGTTGGAATGCTTCTGACCAGAACGGTAGATAACACGGATATCGAACTCCTGTAACCACAATGCCCAATGAGCAAGCTGACTATTAGAATCTTTTAGTGAAGATAACCAGCAAAGCGCATGGTGGTCTGTCACAATATCAAACGGACGTCCATATAAATAAGGCCAAATTTTTCTGATGGCGAGGCACTCCTTTTCAGTTACACTGTAATTTTTCTTGGCCTTACTGAGGGTGCGGCTGGTATAGGCAACGACGTACTCGTCAAAGCCATACTTGCATTGGGCCAGTATGGCCCCTAGCCCCGCACCACTAGCGTCCGTATGAAGCTTCGTTGGAGCAGACGGATAGAAATGTCGGAGTATGGGAGGCGTAGTGAGGAGCCGTTGGAGTTTCTGAAATGCATCATCACATGCCTGTGATCACAATGACAAATCAGAAATTCCGGAAAGAAGATTGGTCAAGGGGGCGATAATGGAGGCGAAATTGCGGACGTATCCCCGGAAGTACGAACATAGGCCGATGAAGCTTCGGAGCTCTTTGATCGTGGTTGGTTTTAGGAACGCTGCGACTGCATTAAGTTTTGTATGATTTGGGAGAATGCCGTCCTTAGAAACCACATGGCCGAGTATTACAAGCTTGCGAGCGCCGAAGTGGCATTTCTTCAAATTAAGTTGAAGTCCCGCCATGAAAAGGCACATAAGAACTTGCTCGAGGCGGCTGAGGTGAGTCGCAAAGTCGCTTGAAAATACCACAATGTCGTCCAAATACCAGAGGCACGCTTTTCATTTCAGACTTCACAGGATAGTATCCATCATCCTTTCGAAAGTGGCAGGTGAATTGCAGAGGCCAAAGGGCATAACGGTGAATTCATATAGTCTATCTGGTGTTACGAAGGCTGTCTTCGGGCGGTCACCCTCTGCCATGGGCACCTGCCAGTAGCCGGAGCGTTAATCTAACGAAGTAAAAAACTCTGCTCCTTGTAGGCAGTCCAAAGCATCATCGATGCGTGGCAGAGGGTAAACGCCTTTGCGCGTTATCTTGTTGAGTCGGCGGTAGTCAACGAAGAACCGCATAGATCCGTCTTTTTTCTTGACGGGAACAACCAGTGAAGCCCAGGGACTGTTGGAGGGCTCGATGATGCCACGTTTCAACATGTCGTTCACTTGTTCGTCGATGACACGGCGTTCAGCAGATGACACACGATACGAAAGCTGTCTTAGCTGGGCTTGTTGACCGGTGTCAATATGGTGAACGACCGCAGAGGTACGGCCTAAGCCTGAGTGGTCACGATCGAATGAAGAGCAATAACGGAGTAGAAGATTTATAATCTCTTGGCGCTAGGTTGGTGCGAGCTCAGAGTCGATGGCATCCGAGAAGATGTCCAGAACATCATTAGGCGCGTTGATAGGAGTTGCAGTACAAAGTGGGAGCGAAATCGTAGGGTCGGATATATTAGCCGGAAGAATGCACTCGTAAAACTCGTAGCTTCCCAGGCATTCTCCACGTAGTAGGGATGACGGGCTGTCCGAGGGATCGCACACATAAATGGCAGCGTGAACATTGAGAAAAACAACGACGGCAAACAGAAGCATGAAATTTCGATGGCACGCAGATGTGACCGATAGCATAAACAACACAGGTGATTTCAGAGGAGAGGCACACGACACCGAGACAACAACAGCTGAGAAAGGCACAATGTCAACGTCAGAAGCAGCAAACACTCTACACGAAGCGCCATCGTCGGGGTCATAGCACGGCACAGATAACGCGAGTTCAAAATGAGAACAGTCGACCAAAGCAGAATTTGACGAAAGAAAGTCCCACCCAAGGATAACGTCATGCGAAGAATAGGATAAAAGTACAAATGCGACTACGTACATCGCACCTTGAATGACGACTCGTGCAGTGCACAAGGCTGAAGGCTGAACATGTCGGGACGTAGCTGTCTGCAAAGATAGGTCGGTAAGTTGAGTGGTCACTTTCTTCAAGTTTCGGCACAGTTTCTCGCTAATTACAGATACGGCAGCTCCAGTGTCAACAAGTCCGTGCACCTTAATGCCATCAATATAGAGTTCGCTTTCGTTCGGGGGACAGCAGTTAGGTCTTGAAATTTTCGCTGCCAACGCAGTTTTTGTCTCTGGAACTGCGCCCGTCAGTTTTCCCCTCATGGTGGGCTGTTGCGACGTAACATCATAGAAATAGATCGACGACGAGGAGAAGGCGAACGGCTTGAGCTGGATGGTCGGTGACCAGGACGTACGTCTAGAAGTGGATCGGCACGAACAGGATATCGCGGCTGAGTGGGCATGGTGGGCATGTAATGTGAGGCCCCTGCAATGTCATGAGAAGGGAAGCTGCGACGACAGCAATGACGGGCTATGTGGCCTGGGATGCCACATGAAAAACATATCGGCCTATTATCCGGAGTGCGGCATTGGCCGACGGTAGGGGCACTGTTCACTGAATAAGGTACCGTAAATGGTCGTGCAGGCAGTGGCGTCATATAAACCTTTTGAGCCGTTTCGTATACAGCCGGAGACGGGGCGGTCAATGGGCGGGCAGGTGGCGTCGACGAATAAACATGGCGAGTAGCTTCGTAGAAGACCGGAGACTCAGTTTAGATATTTGCAGGATCCAAAACTTCAATTTCGATGAGTATCAACTAAAACTGATTGATTGATTAAAACTTTATTTATGTTAACTAAAACTATATGCATTTTAGGAGTGTTTCTTTTAAAATGTGCATGTTATACAAGGTGTCTTTTTTTTCTTGACAAAAACTTCTCTGTAAAGAATTTGTGACAGTCAGGCTTCTGTCTTTTTTGCATATCAACTGCCCCACAGCAGTGGTCTAGTGGCTAAGGTACTCGGCTGCTGACCCGCAGGTTGCGGGTTCGAATACCGGCTGCGGCGGCTGCATTTCTGATGGAGGCGGAAATGTTGTAGGCCCGTGTGCTCAGATTTGGGTGCACGTTAAAAAACCCCAGGTGGTCGAAATTTCCGGAGCCCTCCACTACGGCGTCTCTCATAATCATATGGTGGTTTTGGGATGTTAAACCCCACATATCAATAATTGCATATCAACTCTATGTCAAGGCAGAAATACTTTACCGTGGCAAATGACATTGACAGGCCTAATTAGCATGAGTGCATTATTTAACTTCTTAATTATTGACTTGAGACAAGGCATTTATATAGGGAAGGTAAAGTATTTATGCCTCTGTGCTGAGTATGTAAGCAAAAACAGGAGCCTTAATCACTATCATAAGATGTTTTGAATTAAATTTCTGCATCATCTTGAAAAAAACACACCCACATATTGTCGCATCCTATAACTTCTCTATACAAGCACCTGCCCTCGAATTACAATGAAAAGTTATATAGAGTTTTGTTAATTATGCATTTCAACAAAAATCCAGGTGCACCAATGTTTTACGCCTCAGCAGAGAGCTTCTTGTGAAGAGGACTGGGACCTGACTGTCCGAGCATTTTTAATTCCTTTAGTTCTCGTGGGGGGGAACTCCCTACAAAACAGACCGACAACCACGCTTTTGTCACTTGTGATTACCTACATCACACGCCACTTCCTTTGTGAAGCCCTTGCCCAAAGCTCTAGAAGCTTTGAATTATTCATCAGGTATACATAATGTCCCAACGAACACACTGATGAAAATTTCTGTATCCCAATTTCTTCCCGGGTTTTTCTTTTGTGTCAAGCTGCCAAGCTGGGCACAATTCTTACACAGATTTATATGGTATAAGGATGCATACACATGCGTGGATATACCATACATGAGTTTAAGAGATATACAAAATTTTATCCAGCATTTTGGTACAAAATTTGATGCGAGAGACATCCTACATTCTGTTACATAAAAATATTCCAGAAGAAAATGAAGCAACCTTTTGTCAGAATACATGCATAAGCACCCACACGTGCTATAGAGGGTTATGATTTTTTCGTATGTGTTTGTATATGAGACATTTGCTGTTGTAGAACAATTTCTGTTTCAATTGTGGGCAAGTCTGTGAAAATTTGAAAAGACTGGCATTGTTCGTGCATAGCATATCTGTAAAGCGAATTATGGCATTCAGTCACGTCTTAACTGCGGCGCTATGCAGGATGCGTTCTTCGTGTCGGCTGGTGCCTGATGGGCCCGACAGCATTCAGCGAGGTATTCAAGCCACGCTGCTTTCCACCAGTCAAAGACAACCACCACCTAAGGATGGGACAGCAGCTGCCCGCAGGTTTCACCATGTCGAGCTTCCTGGACAAGCTGCAAATACTTGAGCAGAAGCTGACCGAGCGCAGCAATGGCAATGCAGTCACTGCTGTCGACATGGCTGTCTACATGCTGCGGACGTGAGCAATACATCACCGAAACATTTTTTAAAGTTTCACTTCCTCCTAGAGCGTAACACTGGCATAACACTAGTATTAACAAGTTAACATAGAGATCAACTCCCGAGCAGTTTGTGAAAAGTGCGTTCATGTTGGAATGTTTGATGCTGTATTTCACATATGCATGCGTGTTGTCTTTAAGTGTTGCAGCTAGATTTTGACATGCTTGCATTGTGATCGAATGGGCACAAATACCGCTAATGCCTTGCTGGGTGAATGTGGCAACAGTGAAAAGTTCCACTGCTGCAGGCGGTATACATAACGATCAATTGGTCGCCCGTCCAAGCGCAAGGAGTCAACGGTGTAACAATGGTGCCACATATGTGCTTGAGTTGTCGCTTATGACGGGGTCACTTATGACAGCACCGCATCACACATTCTTCCAGGTAGATGGTTTAATTAACATCCTTATTGCAAAACAATTGTTGGTGATAAGTTATAGTCATTATATTGAAGGCAAATTCTATGATTACTATACTTGCACATTTGCCAGGGGCCACACTATCATATATTCATGCACTTGCAATGCTCATTCAGAGAGAGGACATGATCCAAAGCCAGTAAATTAGTCGGTAGGCCTTCGCAACTCATTATGGTGCAGTATTGCCCACATCATTTGTGAGAAAAATGTGACACAGCATAGTGGTGTGTTCCATTCCATTCATTGCAATGTGTTTTTTACCACTATTGTGAATGGCAATACATGTATACATAGCACTGAATCCATTATTAGTCGGCTGGCCTCTGCAAACGAGACTGCAGATCTTTGGTGCAATGATGTGGTTCGCGACATAGCGAGCTGAGGAGCACAGTTCACTTTTACTGAACAAAATGGATATAACACTGAGCACTCAATTTGCTTGATGACTTTTTTTCTTCTTTCTTTTTTTTTGTGTTCTTGCTGGTTATCAGCATTTCCAGGCTGAAATATTCTTGAAAGATTGATTTTCCTGCGATAAGTGTTTGCTGAGACCAGGTACATGTATCCGACTCATGAGAATGCTGGTGATTGAAAACTTTGCCTTAGATTTGCTTCACTAGACTGAGAAAAAAAATACATGGCTTTCTGTTAAGCAAATTGAGGGAAATTAAAGGGACATTAAAGCCAACTATTTAGTCGACATTGATTGTTCAAATGGTGGTCCAGAAACCTCGTAGTGTTACTTTTGTGCCAAAAAAGGGCCTATTTGGAAATAAAATCACGTTTTAGTGTTCCGCATCGGGTTAGCACGCTTCAAATTACCCGCCTCAAGATGCGGACCGACCGGATCGTCTCACGTCACTGTTGCCATGCCAACGTTGCCTGGCTTTACTGTGCAAAAATTAGCAAATTGAAGCAACAAACCGAAGCAGCGGGAGCAACAGCAGCAGCAACGGCCATTGATAAATTTCTCGCCATTGGCTTCGAGATTGCAGACATTTTTGTTTTAACTGCGCCCCCGCTATATGGCACCACCTGTTTCGTGTAACCACGCGAAAATTAAATTTTTGAACCGCTCGCGCCATTCGCCATGGTAACGTCCGGCGGTTATTTTTTCCGTGAATCAAACCTAAACGAACAAGCAGCGTTTTATTGCGTCTCTAATGCACGAGTTAAATTGATTACTCCTGAATAATTGTAGGCGGTCCATCTGATGTCATCGAGATCATTTTGAGAATGTCCTACTGCGGCGTTTGTGTTCTTGTGCATTTACTTGAATTTCTCGGTAAGAAGGGCACTGTTGTTGATAATATTGTCATTTTAGATGTTGTCATACATTGAGCTTTCACTCTGACAAAAATTGTTATTTGACAGTAGTGTCCCTTTAGAGATTCTAAAATTGTGGACTTAGGCAAGTCGAGGTTCGTTGTGTTTAGGCTTGGCTATTGAACCTGATGATCAATATGACAATCCATCCTATTTCAGATCAAACAATAATATCACAGTAATCTAAAGCCAGGCTAATTGATGTGATAATTCATTTTATATTACACTGCATCTGATTATTGAATGTCTTGACTCTCATGAGTTGACCATATTAATTAAAATGGAGAGAATCATTTAGAACAAGCACAACACAAAAGGCATCACAGGACTAGTACTCGCCCGTAAGTACATCATGTCAAAGGCATTCGCAAGCATTTTGTCCTGTGGACTGATGTCGTGTTTTTTACACTAATTTGTTGCTATCAATGTGATTAGTTGACTGGCCAGTCAATGCATGCGTAGAAAATATGGCTCCCACTGGTGTTGCACCTTTTTTTTTTTTAAGGACGACAGTCTTTCTTAGAGATCTTCGACGGAAAAATTTTGGTCTGTCTGTTTGTCTGTACAATTGTCTGTTTGTCCGCCCAACGATACCTCGAACGGCTCCAAACGGCCAACCCCATCTGCAGCGCCCACCAATATTGCTCAAGGTTTAGCGTTCATAATTGTGCGATTGTCAATTAAAAAAGCAAATATTGCGCATATCTGAGGCACCACAAACACATGTCTATGTTTTGTATGTCTGCCTTTATACTAGAAAAGGCACACACAAGTAACTCTAAAGACTGTAGCGTTCAATGCGCTGCGCTGACAGTGCAACTCGATGCTCAAGAAGGTGTTTCCAATGCTTTGCTACAATGGTACGGTGGTGGCACCTGCCCATGGCTTTGCATTCTACACTTTATCACCTCCGTGACTGGCGCGCATGCTTTCGTTTTCGAAGATAACTGCCAGATGGCCCTAATGTATAACGTGCCTAGATGCACTTGCTCGCCTCCGTTACACGCTCGAGGCACTCTAACGCAGTGCCTTCAGATTACCATTCACCGATTTTCTTGCGCAGAACATAAAATAAACATTTTGTTCACTCTATTCAGACGCAAGACTATTGTCTTTCGACAACTTTTACAGTGTAACATGTAGATTCGGGCCATTTTTTTTAAAGGGACACTAAAGGAAAATAACAATTTGTGTCAGATTGAAGGATCAGTTTACGGCAACATCTAAAATGGCAATATTATCAACAGCAGTGCTCTACTTACCGAGAAACTAAGGTAAATGTATCACACAACGCGCACCACGAGTGGGACATTTTGTAAATGATCCCGATGACGTGAGAGCATCTGGCTAGAATTAATCACTACTAATCAAACTAGTAGCAATAAAAAACGAACCATCTATGTATCGATAGATGTAATAAAATGCTGCTTGTTCATTCTGCTTGATTCATAGAAAGAACAACCACCTGGCATTACTATGAGAAATGACGCGAGTGGCTTGAAAGTTCCATTTAGCCTGGTTAGGCTCGATAGGCGGTGCCATTTAGTGATTGATTGATATGTGGGGTTTAACGTCCCAAAACCACCTTATGATTATGAGACGCCGTAGTGGAGGGCTCTGAAAATTTAGACCACCTGGGGTTCTTTAACGTGCACCCGAATCTGAGCACACCGGCCTACAACATTTCCGCCTCCATCGGAAATGCAGCCGCCGCAGTTGGGATTTGAACCCGCGACCTGCGGGTCAGCAGCCGAGTACCTTAGCCACTAGACCACCGCGGCGGGGCAGTGCCATTTAGTGGAGCCCAATTAAAGCAAACAAGCAGAAGATTGTTCAATGGCCATTGTTCCTGCTGCGACTCCCGCTACTTTCGCTCTGCTAGCTACTGGTGTCATCGGCTATGCTGTAAAGGGGGGCAACGCTGGGCAAAACAATGGGTGTATTCCAATACTCATCATTTACAGCTAAGTAGACAGCTAAATGCACGGTGGCCATCTTAAGTCCCATTCAAACTCTCACATAGCCAGCAAAATAGACAGCTCTGAGATGACTGCATCATAGACAAATACGATGCAGGCTACTGTGCTTTCTAAACAGGATGGGGGCTCAGCGATTCCCTCAGGTAGATCCAATCTTTTCTGAATGATTGTCTGCACACAAGCAGATGCTTCTCCAGATGCTCAATGTGAGTAATGTTTAACTTTTTAGATTTCAACATGAATTAAGTCAGAAAATACAACTGTTACATTTGTTTATTTTGGCTTTCTCTTCTCAATGTGAGGTGACACCAAGTCGTGTAAACACCATCCAGACGTGTTTCAGTTTTCGGACAACATGGGCACGGTGCTGTCTTCTTAGCACTCTGCGTAGACTGTCTACGTGCTATCTAAAAATTAGAACACACCCAATAGAGACGTGAGAAAAATTGCTTTAAGGGAGGCGATAAGTGCGCTAAGGGGATGCACACCAGCAAAACGTGATTTTTTTCCCAAAATCGGCACTCCCTCAACACAAAAGCAGCACTGCAAGCATTCTGGACAGCTATTTCAACAATTAAAATCCACTTAATATTTGCCTTTAGTGTCCCTTTAAGCAGTTAAAGCTCGACCAACTCACAACTGCTTCAGTGCAATGTTCGAACAATTGCTGCATGGCAACTGCTCCATGATGAGTTTCCCACAATTCGATTTATTAAATGTTTCAAGTAATTGTTGTGAGTAAAGATCTGATTGACTGATTGATTGATTGATTCTCATGCTAGTGATGACAAATTTCTCACAATTCAATTCATTAGAAATTGTAATGAATTGTTGTAAGTAAATATCTGATTGATTGATTGATTGATTGATTGACCGATCGATTGATTGGTTCTCATGCCAGTGATAAAAAGGTGAATCAAAAATAAAATGTATCATTCACATTTCTACAGTGATTACTTTAGAAGTTACAGAAGTGCGACCTGTGATCACTAGAGAAGTGCAATGTTTGTTACAAAAAACTTTCTAAATTAATGCATGAGCACTAAAGTAACACTTAGAAAGATTAGAAGGGGTTATGTAAAGCACACCGTTTTGCGGTGCAGATTCTTCCATGACGACTACCAGTGGGAGGGTCTTGGCATCAAGGACGTGAACAACGCTGACAAGGAGCGCAACGTCTTGCACCAGGTCCTGGATGCTTTGACGGCCAACCTGGGGAGGCCCATCGTCAAACCTGATGAGCTCTTGGATGACCCGCTCCGCAGGGATGACGATCTCTGCTTTCTGATGTTCAGCCTGGCACACAACATCAATAAGACGTTGGTGCGGCACGACCGTTTCGACACATACTCCGTGAAGTGAGTGGGTATAGTAAATCTTTGTATAATAAATTAGGGACATGACCATGTCGAGGAGGTGGTTGTACAGTATTCTACCAAATTACTTATTAAGAAATATTAGGTGCTATGACCATTCAGGCACAAATACAAATTTTCATATATTAGTGCACAATTCTTTCTCAACTTAGAGCTTGTTGCTTGAAATGTTCATGTGGCTTTGTTGATATCTAGCTAAAATTTCTAAGCAGATTTTCACACATCGAGATTTAGTACATAAGGGCAGAGCAGCAAACACAAGTATCTAGCATTAGGATTAGCAATGCTTACTCCTCACTGTGCATACGCAAATGGTAAACACAGTTCCCTCTGTTACGCACATACCATAAGCTATTTTCATAATTCCACTCAGTGGTAGTGCATAACAGGGGAGCCATGCGTGAGGCATTATGGCGGTGCTACTGAAGTGGGAGCCATTCACTTCGGATCTGTCAAGCCATTGGTCAGTAGTGTTAGGTGCATATAACCACTCATATCCGCTTCAAATTAAGTAACTTGTGCGAGCCATGCACTGATGCAAAATAGCTTCATTTTCGAAATATGCTCTTGATAAGTAGTGCATGAGGGTTAATGAGAGATTCATCATCCTCGGTTTATGTTGTATGCATCCCACACTTGTGTGCTCTATTGTTCATCGCAATTATGCAAACAAATGTATCACAGTGAAAAGAGAATGCATCTAGAATAAATTAACAATATATTGATTTATTTAAGTACATAACTAACTTTAAGGATTTCTTTTTGTGTGAGAAGTTATTAGAACTTTTATTAGATGTATAAACAAAGTTTTTTATATCCGTACGTACCTTAAGGAAATATTCACTAAAATTTGCAAAGTCCATGAAAAAAATTGACATGGAGATTATAAATTGAAGAAAACACTTGACAATCCACCCCACTCATTTTTTGAATTTATCCAATTTGTTTGATGGAATGTTGGTGCCTAACTGTGACTATGGCTAATTACTTAGCACTATGGCTCTTACATAGCACTTTTAATTGAGATGTTACCACTAATCACAAAACAGCACAACATTGACACGTGAATTGCTTTTCACAAACTTAATCGCAGCATTGAAAAATATGCGCGAGTGCATACCTAATTCAACTATTAAGCACAGACTCTTGTTAAATAGAAACTAAAGAGACCAGAACAATGTGTTCTATTTAACAGCAGCTCCTTTTACTGAGAGATGAACAGGTGTGCAGAATCCAAGTATACAACAAATGCTGCTGAAGGCAGTCATTCCATTAAGAGAGCAGTTTTATTCAACAAAAGTTCGTTTACTATAGCTGAGAGTCTACTTTATTACAATATAAATGTCCATTCAACAGGAATGTTTGAGATTCATAAACATTCACACCTGAAAAAAGAAAATGCTCAAGCTTTCCAGAAGGGTTGATCAAAGTCATCACAGAAGTCACTGGGTCTTTTCTTGCACTTTAAACACAACCCTCGTGATTTTAGAAGCAAATGGTAACAGATATAAAACATCGGAAGCACAGAAAGACACAGGACAGATGTGACCGAAAAAGCCTATTAATAATTAACAATGCAAACAATTAACAACACAAACAAGTCAGCACAGTAGTTTGTTTTTTCCCAACCCCAATTTCGTTGTGCTAACATTCGTTCAAGATGCAAACAATAAATTTTGATCTGATCCCTCTCTCATATTTTCAATATCATTCTAAAAATTCTGTACACAGCATGAGTGCAAAATTTGCACCCCATATTCTAGTGTAAACTAAATTAAACTTTTGTAAAATTGAAAACAAACTTCACTAATGAAGTGAATTTGCTTTGCAAAAACTAAGCACAGTAAAATACCACCTGAACGAATGTCAGCTAGATGAACTATTCTGCTGTACGAAGATTTTTAAAATCTCTGCAGAAACGCCGTTGAAGCCTATGCTAATGTGTTTCAGTTCAACAAAATTAGTGCAGAGCACATTTCAGCTCTACAAACTTATGTTGTGCCACCATCCTAAGCCTCTCACATTTTATTGGTCAGAAAATTTTTGAAATACTTATTGCCGACAGCACCTCATGTTTTGAGGACTGCTATGTCGTCTGTGACTCTTGCGTTGAGACATGTGCCACTCTATCTACAAAGGAGATTATAACGAGCGTCTTACCCAAGGAAAAAGAGGAGGAAGAATAAGTAACTATCATAGAGGAAGCACCAGGAATATCAGCCAAAGAAGAGCTAATGGGCCTGATAAAAGTGAAGTCTTTCGCTTACCAGCAGAGCGTCATGCCAGAGAAGGATTTGAGAGCTTGGACCCTGTGACCCAATTCATTATCGCTGCAGTCCTTAGTGCGAAAGTGTAGCAAAATATTAGCACAAAAATAGCATTGCAAAAAAAAAAAAGTTCAACTATAATTTCAGTCAGGTGATGTTTTCTTTATCTCTTTATAACAGGTGGAAACATACCTAGCATATTGGTTTAGCAAACTTTCACTTTAACAAACTTTTATCGGGGTTCCTTTAAGTTTGTTTTAATGAAGTTTCACTATAACTGTTTCACTTCACATGAACATCACCTGTTCAACACACATACCTTGAGAAACATCTACTTGAGCTCGTCATAAACAATCATCATATTGCCGCATGTTGTTAGACACCCACTGTAGTCTTGCATCGCTTCCTGCATTTATGAATTCCACCACACCAACTGACAAGCAAGACATGCCATGCAACACTGGACTGCGCGTGTCAACATACTACGAGCTGGAAAAAAAAGGCTGGTGGCTTTTTGAAGGAGCGGCACGCAGTGAGACACTAGAAGAAGAAAGTCACGCAGTTTTTCACTAGCGAACTCAGGACAATATCTGTATTTTGTTGACGGGCACATGTTCACTCAAAATAAATACGTAGTTGTTTTAGCTGCCGGCACTATACGTGTTCGTTACAATATTTTATTGGACCCTGGTGTCCCACTGTATTCATGTGTTGGGATCAGTAATTATCCCACACAAATAGGCTGTCACAGCTATAAATTTGACACATAGTGCTCACATTATTCTTATATTGCCAGTCCTGAATATTTTGACATTTCAGTTAGACAGCCACTAAAAAACTACTAACGACCTATTAATAAATTCCTTATGTTCAAGTTTCAAGGCAACATTCAGGAACTCGTTGGAAATACCATAATGAAAAGTTAATTTTCACTAATAAGTATTTCACTCCACTCCCAAATCACTGTATGAGACAACTTTCAAATTTCGCCTACAGTGTGGTGGCTTTCTCACATGCGCTTATCTGCCCTCATCTTGTGTACTAATACTTCTTCCTTGGAGCATAGCTATACCTTCATTACGAATCTGAATGCATATGTTGCAGTCATTTTCCCAGAGTAACATAAAATCCTAGATATAATAAGTTATGTTCACTAGAACTAAAGAAGGATCCTCCTTTACAGCTTGCTGAGCATTTATTTATTTATTCAATTTTTTTTCCAATGTCATTTGCAGGGAGGACGACGAACTCAAGAAGTTACCACGTGAGGAAGGCGTGTTAAGTGTGACGGGCCGAAAGGATGGCAGTGTTGTGGCAATCGGCCGAACACTGCTCGGCATCGCAGCCGTGCATACAGACCTGCAGCCCAAGACCATAAAAGATGTGCTGAAGAGTGTGCCTTCAGTGAACGTGGAAGATGGCATTAGCGACGGAACCCTCAATCCACTTTACGCCGCCACCCTCGGATGTGAGTAATTCAGCCTTCTTCACTCACGCTGCAGCGAGAAGTTAAGAAGACTATAAGCATTGCATACGTATGCTGCGTAATAAAATTTCTGCGCAATTTAAACTGCCTTCCTGGCATACCTGAAGCAAAGCACCATGGCTACAGATTCTTTCAGCAATGCCACTTACTCATAGAAGACCAACCATGATGGTCTAGTGATTAAGGCACTCGGCTGCTAACCCGAAAGTCGCGGGATTGAATCCTGACCGTGGCAGCTTCATTTTTAATGGAGGGACAAATGCTTGAGGCCTGTTTATTTAGATTTAGGTGCACGTTAAAGAACCCCAGGTGGTCTAAATTTCCGGAGCCCTCCACTACGGCATCTCTCACAGTCATATGGTTGTTTTTAGATGTTAATACCCAACAATTCTTATTATTTAGAGAAGGACATCTCTTTTATATAACACTCACCTCCTCTGCCCCTACAATAGAAAAAAAATCTTGCTGTCATTTCTAAAGCATGCATGTCATACTCAAGCCTAGTATACCTAATAATACTTAATTAGTATCTAATTTCGAGCCAATATTCCATTGTGCTATCGACATTTCATTTTAGTTCTACACGGCACAATTCGTGATTGAGGGCAAAGGCTTTAGTCTATAATCAATGAATGAATCTGTTCGATTGGCTGCACATGCTATGAGTGCTCATGCTTAGCTCGAGGCTTTTTTTCTTAAATTTGTCCTTCTTTTTGAATGCTTTGGGCAGGCCGAAGTAACGCCACTACAAGACAGTTTCCATAATCTATAGGTAAAATAACAAGAAAATATTTGAGCTTCCTTTTATTTTGAGCAAGCTGTGCTGGTTATTTACAAATGCATCAACTTGCTTTATTTTCTGCAGCGCTCCTGGCGAGTGCCTCCCTTACCGTTCCAAGAGCAGAGCTGAGAGACTCTATGGGAATGAAGGGCAAATGGCTCGAAAATGGCTGCTTCCTTGAGTACAAGCTAGACGGTGACACGAACACATCATGCACACTGGCCCAAATCACTGGTGCCATCGATGGTAAGTGTTACTTTTGATACACGGCACTATAGTTACAGTAATCTGCTAAGGGAAAAAAAGGCAAACAGCCAGTATGCATGCCTGCGCATAGATAATGGATAGATAGTGGCATCTGTCGCCGGATCTTTCTTAAAAACCACAATATGCGAATATTGATGCTAAACCCATATTTGTTAATAAAGTAAAATACATACAGCATCGTTGGTAAATACAATGAATCCCAAATATGCTGAACTCGAAGGGCATTGTGAAATAGTTTGATATATCGATATTTTTATATAATAAATATGCATGTTTTGTGCTTATATTGATGCATTACAACTCTAGGAATGGCTTTCAGAAATTTCAATTAGCCTTGGCATGATGATTTGCTGACAGTATTCTTAAGAAAAGATGATGACAACTTTTTTTGCAAGTTACCACACTTTATTTCACGTGAAAATAGTCTGTGGACTTGTCATGTCCTTTGCGTGCCATCATGTTCATCAAGTCATCCTCATTAATCGAGCATTGAAGCTTCCAAAATAAGTGAATTCAGTCCCTTCAGTTACAACAATGTTAATTGGCGATGAGCTACCGATGAAAGCTCTGTAGCGCAGTAAAATGTTGTTCAGCGATGGTGTTAGAGTCTTCATAACCCCATGGGTCCAGTTCCGCAGCACCGGCAATGTCAGCCATGCAGTCAGAAGCAGGGACATCGTCATCTGCACCAATAAAGTTGCTTTCTGTACTCTCGTCTGAGGTGGCGCCTGGAAATGCTAATAGGTACGGAAATACACAGAGGCACCATACACCATTGTCAGCTAAGATGGCGCACATGAAGTTGTCACCTTTCACCAAAGCCTACGAGAAAAGTGTGGGTAATGGTGCCTTGCTTTAGCATTAGTCATTATTTTTATCACTATGAGGGATGCAATGTTTAGTTCGACTCGGAATCGAAGGTTCAACAGTAACAAAGTGAGAACTACTGAAGTGCACAAGCCAAAAGTGACAACGCTGTCCTCAAACAACAAACGACCATGTAACCCACCATTGATATCTTGGCGATGGCGATGGCACTAGGGGCTTTGTGGCAGCAAGCAAAAAGCAAGAAAAAGCGTAGACTCCGAGATCTGTGTTCTATAACCCAAAATATCAAAAATACGTCCCTAGGTTGTGTATCTCGAAAACCATGCTTTTTCGGGCCCACATATGATTATGCATCAGCAAACAAGGAAGGAAATGTGCACATCATGACAAGGCCATTGAGTTACTTCGTATTCATATGATTTTGGTGCCCTCGGCAAATGGCCCCTTTGGAAACATTGTGTCCACGCATTACAACGTACAACAGATCGTGCATTACGTGCCGGTGCATTCACAAACACTGCACAACCAATGAATCACACTGCGTTTTCATCACTTGTGTGCGAGAAGGAACCAAAACTTGTTATAATGTGGCCGAGAAATTAGCAATCTGTCAGAATAAATGCACTTTCTGGGCTTCAACACGGTGCAGCGTTCAAAATATCGGATGTTGTGCGCTGCATGAATTTGATATAGTACATGTGCAACAGTCCCATACTTTTGCATAGAAAATTCAGGGGGATTTACCGACTATTCGGTATTGCGAATAATTCAATATATCCAAGTTCAGTGTGCCTGGGATCGACAGTATTTTCCACTTTGCCACAAATTCTCGGTTTCGATGTTTACAATGAGGAGTACAGAATACTGCAGTTATAATGCTTTTTAAGGTGAGGAAGAATGCAAGCAACTGAGAACGTCAAGTTAGTTCATTTAATGTGCTTAACACTGTACTCGCTAGGTCTAGCAAGAAGTCTATTCCCTGAATGTATAACTTAATTAATGATTACCAAGTGTGCAGCAGGCTTTCGCCTTCAAATATTGCACAGTCTAGCGTGCTGCCAACTTTTTTAGAGCATGGCCTATAGTATACCGCCACAGGGGCCACACCCATGCAAGAGCCGCACTCAAAACTTTGTTAAATAATCAAAGGCAGTAGTTGGCAGGTTTAAGATGAAAATTTTCATTCGGGCAAAACTGTGCCCGGCAAACAAGAGGTCAAACTACAAGTGATAAATGCTGTACACCGATAACGGTGAACAGAGCGTCAGCCGTCGATTGTTTGATCTGCAGTGAGATGTGCAGTCGTTTAAACATGCAGCATGAAACATTCAGGTTTTATCCTTGCTGCTTGCATAAGCTCTTGAATAAACTTGACTATCTGTGTCCAGTGCATAAGATGAACAGAATGGTCTTGGATGATTGCAAAACTTCTCAAGCATTGCGACACAGTGTGTGCCGAGCATTGCTATCAGTATTTGTGGGTGTAAACAAAACACATCAAAATAAAGCACTAAATATGTGAAACAATATTTAAAGATTACCTGTGCATTATCTGCCCTTTCATTTTTTAGAAGGTTAGCAGTGTCATTTGTTCTGCAGTGCACGAATTTTAATGTTTTTTTTTAAACATCCAACCAGCTGTTAATATGTTCCGAAATGATAAGGAATATGTGAAGTGATGTTGCTCCAAGATATGTGAAGTGATGTTGCTCCAAGAAAGTCTTCTCAAAAAAACAAATGTACAGAGATGTGCTTTCCAAGACAAACGGGGCATGTTCCCAGAGATAGAAGATTCACTTTTGTAATACATAATGAAGACGCAAACAACGACTATGCCATTTCATTTCAACGATACTGTCCATGAAAGTGTTGGGCATCGAGCAATACAAAGTCATTTTGGTTAGAGCTTTTACAGCAAGCAATGAATGGATCTGGCGCTTCATTAAGCAAAGAAACTTTTCTCACTGCCGTCATGCAATGATGTGCCAACAGTGGCTTAGAAGCAAAAAAAGGGCAATTTTTTTCTTTCTTTTTTTCACTTGTCTGAAAGCTAGCGAGTACTGAAATTCATTACAGACATGTACCAGCGAAAATATTTACGAAAAAATAATGTTGTAGCCCTTTCTTCGTGTTATGGTCATGCCTATGCTTTTAAACTCAAATTTAGGGAAAATACGTGTGGGAATTGCAAGAATATGTACGGTATATTGCTCCTAGTACAAACCGAGGAAAAATGCCTGTGCGCATAGATTTTCCTTTCAAGCTCAGCTGAGATGAATGCCTAAAAAATACCTACCAGCAAATGCAAGCACACCGTGTTTGCAAATGTGAAGAGCAAGTCTGAGTTAGTCTATCACGCCGCCACCGCCAGAGGCGCAGGCTGTATCTAAGTTCATTGCGTTCAAGCTGAAAGCACATACAATGGCGAGTAGTGTCTGTGTTTTAAATGCATGGCATATACAGTCGCACCTACTCACTAATTCGACGTCGGCAGTGTCGTCTACACCCCCACTGCACATGCTCGCGTCTTGTGCCTGCGTCGCTCCCCCCTCTCTCTGATTACACAAGACTGACACAGGCTGCGTCTGCTTGTAAAAACTGACCACTCACGCTGCACAACCGTTCACTGGCTACTATTCAGTGCCATATTTAGGCACTGAATCGCACATTTGGAATTCATTCAAGGCGTCTTTATTTGGCTTTCACTCGACTTGACGCTTCGTTTGACTCGAGTAGATTCGATGGAAGCAACGGTACCAGTAGTGGGGCACAACCCAACATCAGGGTCCCACCACTCGTTCCAGGCAACGCTTCACTTTCATTCAATAAATAAGAATAATAAAGACGAAAGAACAATAATCATTCCCAAACCATACCCAATCACGCAACATTCATGCGATATCCCCACACTCTGCAACACATTTACTCGAGTTCCCCCAGGGGAAGATGCAGGTGGCTTTTTTGTCTTGTGATGCAACATGTTGGCTTTCTTGCCACAGCATGTAGTCAAAGTATGTAGTAGTATGTATGTATGTATGTAGGCTTCTCATCATTCTTGCCTAAGCCAAAACACGCAATAAAATTAAATATCTCTCTTGAACTAATGGTCTCCTCCATTCCCACAGCAAGCAGAGTTGTGCTATCACTTGTCAAACTTGGTTCGACCACGTTCAACCACAGCAATTTTTTTTTTTTCGCGCCACTGTAAAGTGTTATCTTTCAGCAGCAATGTTTATAATACTGCCAAACTACACTCATACAACAATGTTTTCACTTAGTGAATTTCGTGCGGACAAGTAAATGCACGACCTGCGCAACACTCTAAGCAGTGGCCGTCCACTGGGGCAGCTTTTCTGCAGTGCTTGCCAGCCAATTTCGCATGGAATTACTAGTGCACACTCATTCTTGTCATTACCAGTAAATTATCTTTTGGATAGTGTTTCACTGCTAGGCCCTCTACCATGAAACACTAAAAAAACCGCAATGCGCTTTACAAAAAAAGCAAGACACCTTTGCGAAATTTCTGATTTTATGTGTAGATGCTTACTTCTTGTAAACAAGAAGCCCAAAAAATTGGACACCTAAAATTTTCGGCGTCCGAAATTTCATATTTTTTATATATATTGACATCTACGATGCAAATTAGGAACTACGAATTTGAAGGGAGCGCGTCCTTGTCCATCACATCGGTTGGGCTTCCACACATGTTGAAAGAGGAAGAGATGCTGAGGATATAGCGTCTGAGCCTTGTTGGCAAGTGTTGTCGGCAACTCTTTGGTTGCACCAAATCATGTACATAAATGCAACTCAGCCTTTGCATTGCCTAATTTTTATACAATAGTGCAACCACCCCACCAGCACTTCATCTTCAAACACTTGCTATCTCATAAGAATGCTTATAAGAATGCTCATAAGAATGCTCCAACTTTTTTTTTGTTTTATTTCGAAGAATGTAAAAAATAGTAGAAAAATATTCGAAAACTGCTTGATTTGATTTGCACTGACACTTCATTATTCGAAATTGCTTTGCACCCAATATTTTGCTCTTTGCACAGCTCTATTAATTTGTTAATGTGCATAGCACATATACATCTTGTTAATCAACCATTTGAATTATCCAATTCAGGGTAGATGACATTGACTATTCATGAATCCCTTGGAACTTTTGCACAGGCCTCATCCTAGGCAAGGCACTGAGTGAGCTCCCAGAAATGCGAACCTGGAATCTGAGCACCGTGCTGAGGCTGTACTATGGGCCAAAAGGCATAGCCACTGGAGCATCACAGACTACCACCCACTGCAAGCGTCGTGAGCTCTTTGGCAGAATCAGCAGCAGCAGAGAACTGCGCGAACAGATCGACAACTTTGCCATAACACTGGCCCACTCGGGCCTTGTCATTGGCGTCCCAAACAAGGAAGCTTTAGCAAAGGAACGTGTGGCAAATACCTGGAACATTTTCCAAGCCAAGCTTGGTGACGACAGGGGTGAGCAGCATGCATGAAGCGGCAGCCTGCAGTTCATCAATTTATCTTCTGCACCAGACTGGAAGTCATTTTCGTGAAAAGCACTCGGCTATGTATTAGAGTAGTTGCTGAGTAGAAAGCCAGATCAGTTCAAACACAATGAAAATGTTATAGACTACATGGTGATTCACAGACATGTCTTTAAATACCTTGAATAAAATTTTAAGGATGTGAATTATATGTACGACAGCTCAGTGGTTAATTCACTTGGCTTCCAGAAGTATTTTACTGACGAGGCTATAGTTTAGCCCACAGCAGCAATAAGTATGATTATATTTAAAAAAATATTTTACCTACAGAGAGTCAGGAATGCAAATAGAGTTCCTAGTATTGAAAAGCGCCCACAGTAAATTTCTGTGCTGGGTACTGAGCATAATTTCTTTGAGCATGTTAATTAAAGGCTACAAGCTTTATGAAACAGGTTGACCATGCATTTCTGTAATGTTTCAAACATTGGTAGTCATAACATATATCTACATGTTCTAAATGCAGTCAATCAGTGCATATTCATATGGCACTCAAAGTAGTAATGTGCTGTTTTTCTCTTCGCAGATTCCCAGAACAATGATGCATGTCCAGTTAGTATAAATGAAAATGAGCGTAAGTATATCTTCTTCTCATGACACACTGTTCATGTTATGTGCCCAAAGGCAAACATTCAGTATGTTACATATATGTTACCGGGCAGAACTTTTGTGACAAAGTAGCAGCAGCCAGCTCATTGAAGGACACATCCTTAGTAATGTACTTTGCTGACATTCTGCTAGCATTGTGGTTCTAGTGTCCATAATGTGAAAGCCAGATTTTGTTTGTTAGTGACCTTATATTCTGTAGCATATAATGCTCATTGGCATCAGGTTTCTTCATCAGTGCATACACACATGATCTTTCATAATTCGCTATATTATCAGCTGCTAATGCCTCTGGTTCACAAATTTTTTTTTCCTGTTCTTTGAATTTAGCTGAATGTGAAACGCCCACGGATTTGTTAGTAGTGCTGGATACTTCAACAGAGGTCGTTAACGATGAGGAGAGGAAAGCTCTGCAAAGTGAAATCCTTGCGTAAGTGTGACTTTTCCTCGTTTTATGTTAGCCAAGTTGAACAACTACCCTGCTATATGAGAAAGTGCAATATCCGTTCATGTGATTACACATCAGAAACTAGAAGCCTAAATGACCAGAATGTCTAGTGACCACAAGATGGAAGTATATGCAGGTGAATCTGGCATTTTTTTTATGTGACTATAAGTTATTACAGAGGGCATTATTGAAAAGTATTAGGAGAAAATACGTGCTTTATAAGCGGCTATATCATAAACATAAAACATTGTTTTCCCCAGTTGAAAAACTTCTTGATATAGCGCATTTGAACTTTGAAGTAGTATATGTGAGAGCCATCAAAATATAATATCTTTGCGTGTAGAAATACTATTCATTCATAAAATATAAGGTATCAAATAACATGTTTCGTGGGCTTTATTCAGTTATGCAGCAAATTACACTTCCAGCTATTTGGAGCTATGTATATTTAACAAATTAAAAACTTATTACAAGACGCCTGTCTTCACAATGCAATCATACAAAGAGAAAAAGATGATTGCAGCGTCAATAAAAGCCTACTAGAGACGTCATCCATTCATTTTAGGAATGGATAAGCTACAGGCAGGCAGTTCTAAAATGGTCAATAAAAAAACAAAGTATATTTACAGTATAGTTGCAATAATTCAAACTCTGATAATTCATACTTTTGGTTAATTAAAACAAAATTCAATTTTTTGATTGGCCCTTTTTCTTTTCAATGTACTTAAAAGCCCCTTAATTCAAACTTCATCATTTTGTTAATTCATTTGTTTTGTGGTTCCATACCGGAAAATATTAGCTGCTTTCCAACTACTACTTCAAAGTTTGTATGCTTTATAATCCTAAAAGTCTAAAAACAAAAAATAAGCACCTCAGGCCTCAAGAAAAAAGGCTTTGCTAGTAAATAAATGTTATAAATGATGCACATGTGATACTTCTCAACTGGTATAGAGAGCTTTGTACTGAAGGCACATATAGCAAAAAAGCGGTTGGCAATTAACGATTTCTTTAATAGGTCTGATCAATAATAAATGGCCAATCAACTTGTGGATGTTACACCTCTGCTATGTGTTTATTGGGTGCAATTAGAGTTTAAAAATGCTTAAAAATTTTAAAAGTGATGAAATCAATGTGTCACCTTGCTTAGAGCCATATACTATCTGAGAACTTCTGATTATTCAAACTTTTTGATAATTCAAATAAAATTCAGAGGTCCCTTTGAGTTTGAATTAATCAGAGTTGACTGTACTTGTAATATGCAGAGACAAAATAAGAATCAAAGAGAAACAGACAATATGCAAAATTTTTGAACAGTGGAAGTACAACACTTTACCAGCCTGACTGCCTGATGCCACAAGGTTGTCCTGTCTGCTGTCCTCCTGGAAGTGATAGAAAACTAAGAAATGCAATCAAAATACTCGTGAATGACAGTACGACTTGTTCATAAGGTGAATGCCAGTTCATTGTTTCAACTGAGATGCACGCCACTCTCATTTTTGTGCAGACCAACACATGAGCCCAGTTGCTGGAATAAATTGCCCTTAATGCTTCTATGTGTAACAATTTTAAACTTTAGACCTCTCTGTTAGCAACCTGGTAGTAAAATATCGCCTGGCTGATCTCCGAGTGTGTAAACTTCTCAACATCGAAGGCTCTCTTAGGCAACTTCGTCACTCAACCCTTTCCTTTTTGTCTTCCCGAATAATTTTTACTGAAATTCCCTTTAACGTGAACCTCAGCCTCAGTGCACAAGTGACTTTTCATTTCACCCCCTTATAAAGTAACAGGGAACCACAACCAACAGCATCATGTTCGGCCACAAACAGCAACTGAGACATACAGGCCTGTGGCTTTTTTCTTACTCGGTGCTCTTCTACTACTTATCTTTTTGCCTCAGGATTTTTTAGAGAACACTGAGAACAAATCGGTTGTGTAAACACCACCGGCCTTGCTTGTAGAATAGTCTTTTTATCAGTTTAATATTTTTGTTATTTAAGGAGAAGGTTCCACTGTATGAGGTGTAGCACCACTATAAATGACATACAAGCATTGAATGATGCAGGCATGAAAGATTATAAAATAATACAAAATATTATAAACAAACCTGCAAATAAGCAACATCTAAGCAAACTTGCTGGCAATAAATAAGCCTTGACTTGGTAGTGCTCAGGAGCCTTCAATCGTGTTCCAGAGGCACATTTCAACCCAATTCACCTTCACAGGCTTGTTTTGGTGACTGCACTCTTCCGTTGCTGCAAGATATTTTCCATCGCCATGTTTCATTTTTTAAATTTTTCATAAAGATTACTGTGTAATGGCAGAAAACCTGGGTAGCTGAACTTGTGAAACTTTAAAAAGTTACAAAGTTAACTTTATATTCAGGCACTAACTGCTTCTTTATGATTCCTGCCATTATAGTAATGAAACAGCAACAGTTTTCTTCTGTTTATTAAATCTGGCTGCTCAGGCAGTTGTATGCAGTTGTACTTCGTCCAATAGTGTGTCTGTCCCCTCTTACAAGCTTTAGTATTTTTTTGGTATAGTTGCTCCTAGGCATTTTCTTAAAATGAGTACATGTGTATGTCTTTTGCCTATTCATATAAATGCATGACAGGAGCAGACTATGGGTTCCAAAGCTAGCAACAATATTTAACGAATGATAACAAATTTGTGACCTCAGTCAGTGACAGACTTTAGAGCACTGCATCCTGAGTGACAACTGTGCATGGAGTATGCATCTAAGTGCTTGATTTATATAAGTCCATCCATGGGTAAGGCCTCTGCAAAAGTCTTCTAATATAATTTATACTGCATATTTACTATCTGTGGAAAAATGCTTTCATTTTCTACTGTATAGTGCATAAACTGCAAGGTATAAATTGTAGACAGAGCATCTGTGATACGGTACACTTTCAATGGAAAAAAAGTCTGTCATACATATACACCTTGCAGAAAGATGACAGATTGTCTAATCTTTGTGGTACTATACTGATATATTTCATTATTTATTTTACTTTTAAGGCCAACCAGATTCCTCAAAAACTATAGACGCAGTGCAAAATGGTACAGTCTCACTCAGTGACGTGAAAGCTGTCAAGCTGCACCAGCCTGTGTCAAGAGACAAATCCCTCTACATGCTGCTACTATTCAGTAAAACTTGAGCAATCTACGGCAAACTGGCACCTAAACTAAAATTCTAACCATTACTTTACCACCAAGCCTGCTTGCAGGTTTGCGACATAAAGTTTATTCCAATTGTTTTGCATGTAATCATAGATGGCATGGCCATCCCGGTGTCGAAGAAGGTAATGTCTTAAAGGAGCACCTATCATTGACCATTTAATTTTTTTTATCTGCGTGCCATTTTAAAGAAGTCCCTAGCTTCCCAGTGCTTTTTATTGGCAGCAGCGGTTGACTGCTAATTTATGCATTTGGTTTCATACTGTGTCAACTCACATGGCTCATTGCTTATGCCATTTCTCCTTAAGGGAAAGGTTAGGAACGGTTTAGCACGAATAATTTTTTTACCGGCAACTTATAGAAATTCTTGTGCATCTGTCCAAGTACAATAATAAGCTGCATTCAACACTTGTTCTTGCAGAATGGTCACAAGGACGCTGAAGTTCCAAACAGGAATCAGCACCGTAAGCCTGTTTGCCAGCAAGCGTCACAGCGATGTGTTGCGTGACATCATCAAGGACAGCGGTGCTGGAGGATGCGCTGGATGTGCCGCCCTGTATCTGCACGACATAAGCGATATCAGTGAGCCATTTCGAGCTGCAATTCTCATGCATGCCACAGCATGCGCGCCAATCTCATAAAGAATCCATAAGACGGACGCTCAGAGAACTGTCCCTGTCATCGATCAAAACAGAAAAAGCTGCCCAAATTTTTCATGAGTTGGCAGGGCATGCAAGTTGAATTGATGCGTGGTGTGCCATGCTGTTTCACTTCATTATGCATTTGCGTCTTTCACTGGAAGATTTTTGGTGACAAAAAGCAACCATGCTTTGCTGAGATTATGGCTGAAAAGAATACAACTGTTTTGAACGTCCGACAATATATTTCTATTATATGGTAGGAATTTTTTTACATGTCGGCTGCAGTGAGCACCTGTATTTTCAGCAAGCTATGACGTATAAGTTTTCATAAACTAGTTTCTGCAGTGCAACATTCTCATAACACAAACAGAAAATAATATGGAAATCGATTCAGTTAAGCACTCGGTTGTACAGGTTGAGTTGAGTTGAGTTTATTTTGCAACAAAGTTGCAAAAAGACCAGGTGAAAAAGCTGCATTGAGCAGCTTAAGAGGAACATGGCCACCTCATACACAGAGCAGTTAAAGCGATTGAACATAAGCGTGCCATATATATAATGCATGAACAAAGCAGTTAATAACCATGATAAGAAATAATGAACAATGTTATTGTGGAAACATTTAAAAACAACAGGTTGTGTGACATGCAGTGAATTCATCTTTGTCAAGCATTTTTGTCCCAAAATTATTCAGTGGCTGTTTAAAAACTTCTTGGGCAACGCCATGCCAAGGCTGCATGCAGATACAAGTGCGTGCATCATTGATACTTCATGGGTCAACCATAGCTTTGTCAGCCTTATTTTTCACTTGAATGAATTGGACAAGTCATACCAGTGCATGGGAAAGCAAGACAACTATGTAATGTAAAAAAAAGCAATATCACATAACCAAACATGTTTTTTGCAGCATGCACTAATGGTAAAAAGCACAGCAAATAACACTAGCATTGTAGCACAATTCTTGCTATTATATTATCGTTCTATTGTTCTAGGACCAACAGCATATTATTCAATTGGTGCAATAAATTTTTTGTCACAAAAGGACTAGCTGTGTGGCGAGTGCAAGAAAGAAATTCAGTTCCCATATGCCTGAAACTGAAGTTTTGCACTTGACTGTAATTCCACAACGTGACAATGTAGTGTCACACATTGAATAGCCTGTCAAACAAGTTCAGCTGGCCATCATAACTTCAGAACCCTATCCTTGGAAAGCTGCGAGCACAAACACAATTATTTGAAGCCCCAACTTCAGCAACCAGTTCATATGACATTTTCTTATGTGCTTTCTTTTTGATTCAGATGCTGTTGGTACAGACAGTGACCAGGATGTGTTCAACATGCTCAACACTCTCGTCACTAATCACATTTCAACCATGGACGAACGACCTGGTGTTGCTAGCAGGGTATGTGCTTAATGGTGATTGTGGCCAAGTTAAATGTCTAGGTCGAAAGAGCTATATAATGACAGCGAAGGTGCAAAATCAAAAAAAGATTTCTCAACAGCGGCACAGAATTGTAAATGTAAATTATTTCTTTTTTTTTACCCAATTATGAATAAGCAGCACTTATGGCATAGCAAGGAGGGTGGGGGAGCAGCTGTTGGCTTTGCAGGTTATCTGGCATCTGTATAAACATAAGGGTCACTTTTTTTCCATTCTGCTAATGCAAGGTCATATTAAATACAAGTCCCGACTGCCCATTAACCCGATCTAGAAAGAAAAGGTCGCAGTTCTGGTCATGTATATGTCCCATCTGCTATTTCCAATTATTGGGCTTCAGGTGGTGCTGTACCTCAACCTGAGGAAGAAAGCTGCTGGTGGAGTGCATTCAAATGGACGCCAGGTTGAGGAGGCTCTCAACAAGTTCAGGGTGACGCATCCAGGTACGGTGTACTTTACAAAAAAGTAAGCATAGAATAGAATTTCAACATTAAACTTATCAGTTTGTTAAAGTATGTTCAAGTTCAACTGCACAGTCCTTACCTGCAATGCTTGATGTTGCCCTTGAGCTGTACTATCTTTCCCGATTTCTTTAGCAATATAATTTTCCACTGAACAGCTGAAAACGAAACCTGACGCTTAGCAATTTTTCCATCCGAAAATTGGCATTTGAATAATTTCCCAACTATCTATCAATCCGCATATATCAGTTAATTCTTATTCGTGACTCGAGTCTTCTTTCGTGTTTAGCACCACCTGTCCTCCCTCCCTTAGTCTCGAGTAATTACACTGACAAGTGTTTGTTACGCAGCAGTGAGACTGTAGACATTATTATCATTAATGTTGTTATTGTTACCATTGTCCAAGCATTTATTATAGTTCTAGGGATGCAAGTTCACATTTTCACATATGAGTAAAATGGCCTAGCAATTCGTAAACATACTCTTCACCCCGGCTTTGCAAAGTGAATGTAAGAATGAACAAGCATAAAGCAAGGCCCAATGACAGTTTGAAAATCACTTTACTTTTTACACAAGGGGCACTTGTAACTAGTCAACAATGTGATGGCCTCATTACGACTGCACTTGGAGCTGTTACAAGCAGCGGCCACTCAATGTTTCCAAATAATTTTTTTAGAAAATACCCTACGCCAAGATCAAAATTACCCTACTTTACACTATGCAGCTTTTTTTATTACCCTGCGTTTTACCCTATATCTAGAAAAAGTGCCTTGTAACAATGATAGCGTACTGACAACATACACTATACAACATTCTGTCGTATGGGGTGCCATCCGGATTGGCCACATATTACCGTGCGACAACGATATCTGATGACACCATTACTTCAGGTCTCATTGTGATGCCACAGTGACGTCACAATGCCTTTACAAATTCCGGCAATATGTCCTGTCACAATGACATCATGAGACGGCGTTGCTATAGGCAATCATGATGATTTCTTGCAACGATCCCATAGACGCCAGCCAACCATCATTTTTCGTGTATGATGTGGCATTTGAAGCTTTCACCTCGGTAACTAAAGCTGACCATCATCAGACATCACCAAGCCCCTCCATGCAGTGAACAGATGGGAGGCAACACAGAGAAAATTGCCCCCCCCCCCCCCAAAAAAAAAAAAAATTGGCAGATCCCACATACAGTGGGAATCGATTATATGTGAAGCACAAATGGGCAAAGTTGATATGTCACTTTAAAATCAGCATAACGTTATGAGGCAGAGGCGAATTACGCTGTACATGACTTCCATGTTTGGACCTGTCATTTGCCTTCGTCGTCTATTCGCGTCACGTAATACCAACTATAGTATATGTTGAGCTAGAAAAATGGCCGCGAGTGCATTATGAGCATAACATGTAGGCATGCTTTACATGACATGCATATCATGATCATTATGTTTGGACCAGTCATATACATTTCTCATCCATTTACGTCACGTAATACCAAATTTGGTATAAGTGGAGTTAGTAAAACGGCCGTGAGCACACTATGAGCGTACCATGGAGTCATGCTCTACATGGCACGCATATCATGATTATGAAGTTTGGATGTGTCATTTACCTTCGTCGTCTATTTACGCCACGTGATACATTCGGTATATGCATGCGGAGTTGGCGAAACAGCCGCGAGTGCATCATGGACGAGGCATGTTGTTATGTTCTTACATGACACGCATGTCATGATTATCATGTTTGTACCAGTCATTTACCTTCATCGTCTATTCACGTCACGTAACACCAAATTTGGTGTATGTGAAGCTAGCGAAACGGCCGCGAGCAACTCATGAGCATGGTATGTAGTCATGTTCTTACATGACATGCATGTCCTGATTATCATGTCAAGTAAACCGAATTTGGTACATGTTAAGCTAGCCAAACTGCCATGAGTGCATTATGAGTGTGACATGTAGTCACGTTCTAACATGACACGCATCTCCTGACTATATCATGTTTGCACCAGTCATATACCTTCGTCATGCTTTCATGTCCCATAATACGAAATTTGGTATATGTGAAGCTAGTGAAACGACCGCGAGGGCACCATGAGTGTGACGTGTAGTCATGACTTATGACTTACATGACATACATGTCATGTTTTTCATGTTACGGTCTGTCACTTGTGTTAACCATGCAGTCATGTCATATCATACCAATTTTTCAACAATTAATGTGAATGAAACCACTGCAAGAGCAGCTAGACCATGAGATGTAAATCGTGACGTTTTTGACATACAAGTCATGAAAATCATGTTATGACTAGTCAGTTAGGGTTGTCATACAGTCATGTTACGCCATACCAAATTTGTTTATTGATGCCATTAACAAAACGGCTAGAAGAGCTAGAAGTCATAGGCGGCTAGATAGATGGATAGATAGATACGCTCAAAGTCACCGAAGTTCTTTAAGAAATGCTTCACATTTAAAAAAATTGCACAAGGATGTTTGATGTATTATCTTTAGTCTCCGCCACTGCCGCAGTGGTCTAGTGGCTATGGTACTCGGCTCATGACCTGCAGGTCGTGCGATCGAATCCCGGCTGCGGTGGCTGCATTTTCGATGGAGGCGGAAAAGTTGTAGGCCCGTGTGCTCATATTTGGGTGCACGTAAGTTAAAGCACCCCAGATGGTCGAAATTTTCGGCGTTCCACCACGGCGTTTCTCATAATCAGATCGTGGTTTTGGGACGTTAAACCCCACAAATCATCATCATCAATCAATTCATATCACTCCAGAACTTTAACGTCGGATAGGTTGTGCGGACCTTCTACATTTTCCCCTAATCAACGACAAGCGAAACGTTGAAGTTACCCTATTTCACAGCCCTACTATCATACGCTGAGCAAAAAATTCCGAGAATACCCAGCAAGTACGGCATTTAGCATATAGTTGGCAACCCTGTCAGGCTGTGCCAATATGGGTTTATGAATGAGTACTTTTGTAAATGTAATTATGTGAGCATGGACTGAAATATAATACGTGTTCAATTGCATGCTAGCAAAGCACAGGAAAAGCACGAACTAATGTTCTTATGAGTGCTACTGAAACACTTGAAGCGCAAAGTGAAGTTCAACCATCTAACTCCAAAAATATACTGATACCATCATGGAATGCAATTTTGTTATCCCATAGAATTTTTTCTATATCTATGCATTGCTTAAAAGTGTCAAAATGTAGTAATATTCTATGTGAGAGTGAACAAATGGGTGTGTTGGTCATGCACGATTCAAAATAGAAGGTGCTAAGAAGATGCCAAAAAAGAAGGTGAAAACCACCTCACTTTTCGTTTGTCGTCTTCTTTGCGCCTTCTATTTCGAATCATCAGACACCACCAAGCACTTAACAAGCCAAAGCTCTTAAACATTGAATGTTTGAGTACGATATTACATTCGTGAATTTCATTTCAGATGTGCCCATCTTCGCCATCGGCTCCAAGGATGTCATCGATGCACTGAATACCAGATCTGGAGCTTTGACGCTGGTGGACATTACCAATGTCCTTGCGTATGAGGATCCTGACATTGAAAAACTGCGTACAGTCCAGGACCTGCTTCACCTTCCAAAGAAAATATGTCGAGGTGTGTGAGCTACTTCAGCTTGTTCCTCTTGCTTAAACAGTGAAAAAATTTTTTGTCACTTGAAAAGCAAGGACAAATACATACCCATCTACTTTTTCTTTAGCATGCATCTTAATGTTATACAAACACGTCACCTTTCAAGAATGTGTGACATGCACCATTTCTTCTGCCATCTCATCACATTATGCACGAGTATATTTTCACGAACAGAAAAAGATGCCAAGGGAAGTATCGGGGATATTATCAGTAGAAAAAACATAGTAAGAATGTAGTAGTGACGCTAACAGGCAAGAAATGTGTTCCACACTTGCCATAATGGCTACTGGTGATGCTGAGTTGCACTCCCACATTGAAATGCACATATGTGCCCTATAAAGTGAACTGAGAGATGAGCACCATCATAGCTCAGTTGGTAGAGCATTGCCCACGCTCTTCGAAGATTGCAGTTCGGTCCCCGCCGGCAGCAAGTTATCCTTGCGTCCACTTTTTTCACATTTCCATTTAAGTTACTTTAATAACATCCCCTATACTTTCCTAGTCATCAGCGTCTGTTAGTTCACATAATCATTGAGTAGCAGGCAAGGTATTTGTTTCACACGTCATGCTTGAGGTGCATTGATTTTATGCTGATTCTTCTTAATATTAATCTAATTGTCGGGGTTTAACGTCCCAAAACCAATATATGATTATGAGAGACGCCGTCGTGGAAGACTCCAGAAATCTCGACCACCTGGGATTCTTTAACATTCACCTAAATCTAAGCAGACGGACCTCGAGCATTATTGCCTCCATCGAAAATGCAGCCGCCATGTCCGGCATTCGATCCCCCGGCTTGCGGGTCAGCAGCCAAGTTTCTTAGCCACTAGACCGCAGTGGCGGGTCGACTCTCCTTGAACCAAGGTCGAATTATGGGCAAAGAAGTGCATTTTGTAAACACTGTTAAGTACAAATAAAATAATGCTCGAAGTATACTGAATGAAATAAAACTTTAATACTAGATAAATAATCTGATGTTCTTGCTGTTACTGTAAATTAATGTTTAGATCCAAGAATTCGTAGCATCATACATTTTTCATCATAACACTGCATGTTCTGAAGCCTTTGTTCTCAAAGGCATAAACAGATCACAGAAAAAAAATTGAAGATATAAGGACTCTTTGGAAGGTACAAGTAATTGTGGGTCAGCTGATGAAATCTGGCGCTATAAGCAGTGTGCTCCCTTGCTTTCTTTATGTGTACTGCTATGTATATAAGGCCATGAATATTAAACTTATCGAGGTTTCGCTGTGATATATGTATTACTGTATAATTCAAAGCAAAACGTTTTCCCATTATTACATTTTGGAGGTAATTTGGTTGTTAGTTTGTTCAATCAATGCTGCATTACTGAATGGTAAACACTAAAAAGTTAGTTATCATTGAATGGAACAAAGAATTTGAAGGAACAGAGCAAGAACTGAACAATGGGAACTTCAAACCCCCCCCCCCCCTTCTGATCAATGATGATAATAGACCGTTTTCTCATCAGCTGTAGCTATAAGAAACAACACTCTTAGCGAGACACGTTGCAAGGTTTGACGAATGTCACAATTCACGACCAGTAAAACGCAAATGAAATCGTCAAGATTCGTTCACTCTTTGGCCTAACAGTGCCAGCCAGCCTGAGGCACAAGTACTGCAGTCAACAGAATCCTCGACAGCAGTCCTCTGCGCTGACCAAGTTCCAAGGCGCAGTGACCCCCGGAGCGGTGCAGTATTGGTCATACAGCACTAGCACGTTCTCTGCAAGCAACAACCTCCAAATCAAGGTGCGATTTTGTCTGCATCTCTTTCCTCACAGCAATGGCTGCACCTGTCTCTTGCATAACAGTCTCAATCTTGACAAGGATGAATTATGTTCGGAAGCGTGCACAGGGTTCTTTAGTGGGGAAGCAAGGTATCGTTGCAGCGACCTTGTTCCCGAATTGTTTGAGCCCAAATAAAACAAGTTTCACAACAGATGCAAAAATGAAAACGAGCCAGTGGTGTGCTTCCTACAGTGGCCTGCATTTGGTCCCCAGCTTTTTTCCAGGAGTAGAAGTGCAAAGTAAGAAATTCTTGAATGTAACATTAAGTGTCCTTGGCCACCATTGTCACCAGAAACCTGCATGGCCTTAACCCTGCATTTGAAACAATGATAGAAAGAGCACAATGGAGTAAAAGTATAGAGCTGACTTGGCATTCTCTTATATCAACCGGGGGGACGGCAGAAGGGGGCGATTCCACTGCCTCTCCCTGTCTCCCTGTATGCATGGCTATGAGTATAATCAAACTACTGGCACACTTTGACTGAGGGTACTAAGTCAAAGTAAAAACAGCAACTCAATTTCAGAGACTATGGCTGGCTATCATAACCCTGACAATTGAAATCCAAAAAACGTCAGAAAGGGGAAGATGGAAGCTTGCGATGAAAAAACTCGTAAACAGGGATTGTATGATTGAAGGAACATTTCGGTAAATGAACTTGCCTTCAAGGCTGTATATTCTAGCCTGGAAGACAACTCTACTTGTCGAACTGTCGGCTTGAGCACCCAACCGCTGTTTACGAGTTTTTTCATGACTTACAGTTTCGTTATTTGTTGTACTGTACTTTATTTCACAATTTTCAGGACAAGATAGCTCAGAAAAAAAATATGCATAGTAGTTTTTAATTCAATTTGACATTGAGCATTCTGTAGCCAAGCCCGTAACTGGAGGGGGGGGGGGGGGGGGCTAGGAGTCTGGACACCTCCTACCCTCCGAAATTGGGATGAAGGATGGTGTTAATAGGCATAGATATTTTTCAAGGGGAGAGTTCGACAAGTGCCCCCCCCCCCCCCTTCTCCGGAAAAGAATTCCTGGCTAAGGCCTGCCAGTGGCTATGGCTATCAGTAGCACTAAAAAAAGAAATGAAAGAAAGCATGACTAAGGGTTCACACAGTGTGTACAAATTTTACCAAATAATTGTCAGCGATAAAATTCCAATTCCAATATCCATACATGTAAAAAAAATTGTGTAAAATTTAAGATGGGAACAAACAGCGCTTGACATGGGACGGTGAAGAAACAGTACCTACTGTTTGTTCCCGTCCAGGTCAGTTGGATGTACCCCTGTGGCATAAAGATGCTCTTTTTATTTACTGTATCCTGCTTACAGAATCCTGGACTCTGCATGTCTGTGCATGACATACCCAGACGTTAGACATGCATGCCAGCGGTACACGCACCACAAGACATGCATGTGGAGTATGTCTTCAATAAAAGAACTGCCCCACTTATACACGCCAACTTGCAATGCAATTTCATGCTTCCAAGTTACGTAAAATGGCCCAGAAATCAGCACAACCATATTTAAATACTGTTCTGATTTGAGGGAATGTGTTGTCTCCTTCTCACATTGCCGATGCAAGCAAGAAACGCACGGATGCTGATGCTAACAACCTACTGGTTCCATTGCCAAATGAAGTACGAACAGCGTAAATTCAACACGGGAACATAAGAAGAGACTCAGACAAGTGCTGCCTAGCAACTGAATTTTTATTCAATAGGAAAGGAAAATATATACAGAAAAACATGAAAAAAATATAAAGCTTGACAAGATTTCTTTCGAGGGATGATTACACGCGCTCTTCCATAAAAAGATAATTCTTCCATCGGTACACGCACCACTAGACATGCATGCTGGAGTATGTCTTATGGTAAAAAAATTGCCCCAGTTATACGCACCAACTATGTTTATTATTGCCAAACTGTGTTTATTATTTCAGTTCACCACAAATGACCGAGGAAACCTCAGGGTCTGTGATGTCACTGGCCGTGTTATTGGTGACAGCCTCGCAGGTTTGAGATGCTATGAAACCAATGCACAATGTAAGTATGGGCACTCCAGCTACCCGTTTCAAGGGAATGGATATTTTTATATCTCCAGAGATACTTGATCACAATATGTTGCGGCACAATAGTGTAGTTGCTCAACAATATATAAATTTACATGAAACTACACTGTATTACATTTTCATGTTAGTAAAAAATGTGTCAATACCCCCGTTTTATATATAGCAGGCAATACTAATAAGACTAGAGTTTTTTTTTTCTCTGCTTTCACGGCAAGCACAATGTAAGAAATACAGAAGTATCTGTCATGCAATTCTATATATAATGCTAAGGCCTATTTTGGCCATAGAGTAACCTACTCTACTAATTACAAAGAATATCTCGCAAAGCAAAATTATATCAAATGAAGCTGTATATATATTCTACTGTGTTCCATATAAAAAAACAAAGTGTAATCGAATATGTCTAAATCAATCTCTTAATCAAAATAAATGTTTTTTGAATTATTCATTAAATCAATGTTTATGGTCTACATAAAAAGAACCTGTAACTGCACTATGAATTCACTCAAGTTTATTGCATCAGTCACTTCATACGATAGCGAAATTCATAGTAAATTTTTAACAGCATATTTCTGCAGAATCACCCGTTTGCCAGATCATATCGAGAAGAAACCTATCATCAGTCTATAAAAAACATTAAAACGCCTGTTCTGTTTATCACTTGATGTCCTAGTCCACTACCTCTAATCAGTTTTTTTTTTGTTTTGAATACAGTTAAGACGCTATCATTCAACTACACAAGACCTTGCAAAAGTAAGTTCTTTATCAATGCATTTCACTTTTCTTTAATCATAAGACTTTTATTTTGTCCATAGAATTCTAACCATACATGTATATTATTGGCTTATTGAGATTCAGAATGGTAGTAGCAAACCTAGTATTGATACTCATAGATGTTTTGCACAACTACAATGTGATTAAAAGATATTGATGCTATGTCAGTCATACTAATACACATAAAAAAAATCATGAAATGCTAGAACTTAACGATTATGTCACTACGAGCACTTCACAACTGCAGTTAAATAGAGCATAGATGCCTCTATCTTATCGAGTTTGTGCACCTCTGGTTAGACATCACGCCATATGACGCTACTAGTATTATTGCCGCTGCACACTTCTTGGTCAACCAGTAACATACTATGAAGTGCACTGACAAACACAGACACACTACAGCTCTACTGAAGATGCAGGGCTTATTATCTGTATTATTATCAGTTCTGAGTTTTAACACGTTCGGTACTCAACAAGCACCAATTCGCTTTCTTGAAGACCTAATCACTAATGTGGCAGTCAAGCTGTAATAGAATTATCAAATATTCTCAGGGCTATCATGATTAATTTATGCAGCTCAATATAATCTATAGTTAAGAGCGGGTGAATTGAATCAAATGTGAAGTAGCTTTAAGCAATGACAGGACAACAAATTTTTTTAAGGTGCTGTTTCCACCCAAATCATCTCATAGTTGGGTGAATATACAGCAATAGTGCAAATACCAATTCTTGCATCCTTTAGCGCCACCAGGTTTTCACAGAAAGCGCTTACTATGAGGAAACACATATTATAAGTGTGGTGAAGTCGGAACGAATGATAAAAATGGTTAAGGAGATGCCTAGAAATAGCTTTTAGCATACACTAGTTAACCAGAAAAAAATATTTGAATAGCTACAAGAACGGCAACGAGAATCAGCTTTCGCATAAAATCAACGATTGCTGAAAACTATTGGGAGCTTCTAGATAGGGCAAGAATCCGCAGAAATATGTCCTCCAGCTATGTTTCGGCACAAAAGATCGTAAGCTGTGCTTAAACATTTTTTTCCCTCAATAATATTGCAGAAGGACCTCTGAGCTGCTCTCCACTAACATACGCTGTGATTGGAAAAGATGAAAATGTACCTCAAATCAACTTCGATGTGGCCAACTGCAAAGGTATGCAAATAAGCTCACAAATGCCATGTTGTACAGGGAACAGTGTTCATTGTCTTCTGCTTTTTCTGATGTCAACTACAAGTACTGAAAATTATAGAGTATGAGGATAATGTGGCTTCAGTATATTGCACAACTTGAGCAGCAGTATGAAGCTAGACAAAACAGGTGCATAAATATTAGCTTAAGGAAAAAGCCACATCCGAAGCAGAAACAACTGCACATGTTGTGTTGCACTATCATATAAACCTTACAGTGATTTACAGGGCCACTAATTGACCAGTATTTAATAAATTGTCTACCCCTTCTTCCACCCTCCACTAAGTTAATGCACTATTGTTGTAAAAGGAGAGCATTATAAAAACATTAGGAATGATTCCTGGCCCTGCCAGTGGCTATACGTTTGCACACCAATGCAGAGAACTGAATTGTGGCAAAAGATTTCCAGTTATTTCTGGTACAGCAACAAATTAAGCCTGCATCAAAATTTACACAGATTAACGAATGCCTGTATATACACTCCACAGACCAATCACCACATTGTCACGAGTCGGCAACTTTGATGTTGGTGGTCATGAGATGCACGAAAAGTACCAATTAAAAAAAGACACACACCACACACCTCTTGCAAACTTAACTATCAGTTGTCTCACTCCTACTCAATGCTGTTTCTTAAGACGGTTTTTCTCACTCCTTATGCAGGTTTTTGCAGAAACCCCCAGCAAATAAAATTTGAAATCGAACACGAAGGTAAGTTTGCCTCTGGCAACATTGTGGCCTTTGTATACTGTTCACTGAAAGTTTCGTTTTCAGCTAGTTTATTGAACCTTTCTTGCTGGACTAATTTCCCGTTCAATAACGTGGTTCATACTTCATGAATATTCAGCTGGAATATGGCCAAATTGCAGCCAAGGACTGACAAAGATCCAGCTGGATAGCCATCCGCTTTGAGCTGAATTATCTAACCACAAATCTTTCCAGCTGGAAAGATTGTCGGTTCAGTAATTCAGCTAGACATGGAAGATTTTCTGTCAGGGGCGGTCATGAAGAGACTGCATAATCGACTCATTGCTCACATTCAAGCATACTCATACACTGTAAGTGTGTTTGCTCAAAGCACAGTTGCTATGCCCCTTCTTCCCAAATTTCTTTTGTTTCCCTCACTGATTCAAAATATGCATGCATTTCAGCTCACCCAGCTTCTTGCCTGATAAAAGTCTATTTGTCACTCTTAATCGTAAACAAAAACATCTTGATAGTTGCTTTACAGCCTCGTCGAACCTGACAGCCTTAAAACCTTTTAAATACATAATTATTTTTCAACATAAGAATTAAGCAAACACTTCTAGCTGAGTTGTCTCAATACTAAAAATCCTCATTGTTTTTAGGACTTCGGTAAAGTAACAAAAACATCCTGCATTGACTTGAAATTAGCGATACTAAACATTTATTTTTGTTCATGAATGATGTAACCATGCATGAAATACATATATTAACTTCTTTCCACAGTGAAATTGGGTACAGTGTGAGATCAGTTTATAGATTTTATTTGTTGCACTTTACTAGCTTATAAAAGATTAAAGAGAAAGTAGAAAAGGGAAACCAAGGCAAACATGTGGACACCCATGTCTCTTTGGTTCATGAGTTCCACACATGTCAGCATTTTTGTCATTTATGTTTACAAGCAGACAAACTGTACCAAGTCAATTCTTTGTGAGAGCTTTCCGTGAAATCATACTGATCCACCAAAATGTTGTCACACTGTAGGTAGAGTTAAACTGTTTACCAGGCTGCAAAATTAAGGCTGAAAGTAAAAAGGATGGGCATATTGTTTTGCGTGTTCACACTATTTCTATTTGCATGTGTCAGTTGACACATATACAACCTCCAGACGTCAGCTTTAACTGTTCGCTAATTTACCGCCACAGTGATGAGGAATATGTAAATCCCAGGGTCGTAGGGCACTTTTTTGCAACAAGCACTATTGCTGTACAATTACGCTGCCTAAGTCAGGGTAGATTGGTATATGTTCTGAATTGTGCTTGGAAAAATCAGTATGTTTAATTATTATTATGTAAATCACTAATTTGTTTTTTCTAACACAAATATATTATACAATTAGCCCAAGTGAAATAATACATATTGAATGCAATAAAAAGCCACAGATGAAAAATAGAATGTTGTAACACTGACTACGATATGCACCTCAGTGCATTTTGTGCATTAGAGTTCATAAAACAACCACACCAAAAAGTTACTATGGTAAGTGCTTGATCTTTGTGCTTGTAAAATGAAAGGAGAAAGCTGTAGAGGAAGTTTGTGAAAGAAGGCTGTGTGTGGCAGTCTGTACAGCTAGCTAGCTTACTAGGTTTCCGCATCTTTATATTTCGAGTCATAACCATTTTCTTTTATTATAGATTATTTTATTGTGTTATCTCTTAGCACGAGCTGTTTATGAAAAACTCGGAAGCCGTCTCAGACAGTCCAGATTCTCTAAAAAGTATACAACGTACACTCGATTGCATGAGTGCTCCCGCTATTTGGTGTTATGCCCAGATTATAGAGGAAATGAAACCGGTAGTTTCAGTGCAGCAGTTTTCATCGGTTGAAGCTCGATCGCCTTCAGAAGTCATCTCTAGCGGTGATGAGACACGTCGATACTAAAAATCAAGATTCCAAGAATACTGTTGCATGGGTTGCCGAAAAGGTCATGGAGCTGTTTGAACATGTCCCAGCTTGTAACCTCTTGCTCATGGATCTTAAACCAGACACAAGGAGCTTTGGCGAGGTACCACGTTTTCCAACATAACGGTTGGGTCCCAGCCATATTGCTCGCTTACGCACTTGTACATACTGAGCCACTTATCCACATAAATGTTGCTCTCCCCAGAAAAGGTACCGAAATCAAGGGGTTGTGTTATGGCGACGTACCAAGTTGCTGCCGGTGATGGTGCTGACGTAGTTGGCGAAGGTGCAGCTCCACCTGGAGCCATGCTAGTAGACTGCAGGAGGCGTCTGCTGCGAAGCTCTTTTATCAAAAAAAAAGTACCCCACACCTCTACCAAAATGTTACGCGGCAATGACACTAAGTCAGTTGCAAGCCACAGTACAGCTTGGGACTGACTTAGTGTTATTGCCACGTAACAATACCTACTGCAGATGCAAAATGCTAGGTTAAAGCGTTGGGTCACAACTAGAAACCTAGAAAAATGATTAAACTTCATTTTTCTTTAATATTCATTTCTGATAATTTAAAGGTAAATGCTTGGGCATCTGTTCTTGCTATTAATGATGTGTCACCCTCCTCCTTCTAAAAATGTATTTTCACAAAGTTCCACTCGGAGCTCTGCACATAGTGCCAAGCAGTATAAGCAGAAGCTCGAGAATGTAGGTGCTGCATTAGCCACCGTTGTATTCAAGCCTGAGAAACCAATTACAATCTCCAAATACAGTGCGTGCCCTCCAGCTCAGCTCCAAACAGATGAATAACTGGTAATTCGAAGCAGCCATGAAAAGCAGGCAAAGCCTATGCTGGTAACAGGAAGCTGAAGCACTGGTAGAAAGAGGTGGTAACACATGCTTCAGAGGCAGAGCAAATACATGTCACATGAATCTAGGTTAGCGAGCACCTCACAACAACTGAATACAATACGGCTCCCTGCATCTCTCTATTTGTTCAACTGCCAATCCATACGTTTCTATACTTATTTAGCAGTGTAGCGAATGGATGATTGTGAATTTGTTTACATGCTCACCATGTCACACTTGCAGGCATGTACTGTGCTGGAGTTCTGTCGGCAATTTTCTCCCCGTACGTGCTGCTTCTCACGACCCTGACACTGCTGCGGCACTGGGCCAGTTAGCAACCTGCACCCAAACCTCGCCCACTACTGTTGAGAACACAATGAAAGATGCGGCCAAGAGTGCACCATCACCATCGTCAACCTGCCTGCCCTGCACAAGCAGCACGTCACCCGCTAAGCTTTCACGTTTGAGGCTTGCATGCCTCAAATGGAAGCGACGTGAAGGCGTAGGGGATCTAATCAAGGTGGCTGTTAGGCAAAGCCCAATCACTGAAGACAATTGCTCATCTTTTACCTTCGCCACATCATTCTAATAAATGTGCATCCCATCTCAACGGACAACAAATATTGAAATAAAACAATTTGCTACAAAAGTACTACATTAGGCATGATGTAATTGTTGAAACAGAAAAGACTCGACCTGCTGACCTAAAGTCCAAAAGCAGACTTTTATAACTGACCTAAAGGATCCCCGCAACACTTTTCAAGTAGTCATGGAATGGATTCACTAAAGATGTTTATTGCCCCACAAATTCACCACCGCAAAAATTTTTAGAATCTGTTCAGCACAAAGGGAATTACAAAATTTTTTTGCAAACCACAATGTTATTCTCTCTTATTTTGTCTCAATGAAAGCGCTGGAAGCTAAGCAAGGAAGGATGACACAGGAAAAAAGATACATCACGTGCGCCTTGTGACCTTGAGCACCTCTTTAGGCGACTTTTTAGAGCAATCACATGCACACGCTTGGACGAGTTGCACTCTTTCACGGTGGCTACAGTAGTGAGCGCGCAATGCCATGCTCAAATCAGCCAATGGCTAATACAATGGCTGTTACGAGTAACTTTTAGGATTGCATCATTCTTTGTCAAGAAATTAGAAAGCAATTTATAGCTGACTGAGAATTTATTGTAAATTCCATGCTGCATGCTGCGCTATATCATTTGGCTCTCGTGTTCTCAGGAGCCTCGACATCCGATCAGCTTTGCTTTCTGGCCATGCTCAAAAAGTGTTGCAGGGCCCCTTCAACAAGTTAACTATCATGATCGGTCAGCACCAGTTTATATGATAAATGAAATTATGTATACATAGTACACGTCTACGAATGCTTGCATGCATTTCCATTTTGCAAGAAGTCTCCTGGCTCTACAACATATCAAACATTCAGCAACAGCTTTGTTTATCTTTACTTAATTTTGGGACCTGATCAATGCAAATGGCAGGTCAATGAAGCTACCAATATGTTAAACCAATTAAGTATTAAATATTTTGTAGGTATTGTAGGTGATTTATTGTGTTATAAAAATTGGTTATGCATAATTACAGGTAATTACGACTTCCATGCAACCAGTTAAATTACCGACAGCAAGAGTTGAAACTGGTGGCACTGTTTTGAGCATTCTGAATTTGGCAGGAACTGTAGTAGAACAATCATTATCATGCCACATAGCAGCTCGAGTAGCCTGTGAGCTTTGCATTCGTTTGTTCGTATCAAAGCTCTGATGTATGTCAGTACTGCTATATGACTTGATAGCAATTCCTACTAAAATGGTACTAATAGCAACTTCGTAAACCGCTTGCAGTCAACATTTTCATCTTTTAGTTGACTGCTCTGGCCCTGCATTCTTCAAACTGGAGCATCAGCGTGCAATCATTAGAGTACACCCAGACGCAAGCACTGCAAAGTTCAGCATTTGCAGTCTTGTGCTTGGGGTGCTCATGCGTTACGACACTTTCCTTCGTTTCAGTGTACACACCACAGCTTCGCACATTCATTCATGGGTTGGTCACAGTTTAATTGACAAGCTACAGTGCTAAACATGAGGACAGAGCTTGCAAACTTGCGTCTAAATTTGTGCCCCTCATTTCAGTGCTATGTTTCACCGATTAACGCCACATAGACCCACAAAGGGCAACAAGCACAAACACGCACAAGCACGAGTACCAGTATAAACATGAGTGAGTACCCAGAAGTGTGAGAAGTTGGTACAAACATGAGCGACTACCTGCTAAAGTGAGCATCAACACGAGTGCCTGTTAGTGAGAGCAATATTGAGCAGGAATGCGAGCACTGATCAATACGAAGGGATGAGACTACAAACGAGTGCATTTGCTAGAGGCTAAGGGGAATGCTTGTTAACAATAAGCGCACACGAATATGAATGCAAATGAGTGTCAGATGCTGTAAGTAGACCCACGTATGAATGCGTGCACGGGAGCAGGTGAGTATGAATGTGAGCGGATGTCATTGTGACCGAGACCATGACCATGGCATGGTCACGGCTTTCTCCTCGGCGGCGCGGCTGCGATGTGGCGTGTGGTGGACGTTTCCCTGCAGCCTACGGTGAGAAACGGACGGGGTAGTGATTCTTGAAAAAGGAAAAAAGCACCTATATTCTGTCAGCCATAAGGCGAAACGATGCAATGTCTAAGAGAAAAAAAAAAAGAAAAAAAGAGAAATGGCCGGCGCGGACTATGCGTTGCGCCTCCTTTGCTGGCCTTAAACCCAGGAGTGGCAGCAGCAAATCGGTAGTCCATCAGTAACAGTGAAGATGTGGAAAGAAGAAGGCTATTAGATCAAGTGTTCAAACAAGGCAGGGCCTGTTTGCCGCAGTGGAAAACCATCTATAGTACTGGTGGTGACACTGAGTGAAATACAGTAGATGCCTTCATGAAAAAATAAAGAAGGATGACTAACGAAAATTTCGAGAAACGCAAACAGTCGCTGCCAATAAAGGGCTGTAGAGGACCCGTTCCACGAATGTAACAGGTTCGTTAAGTAAAGCCAGTCGGGCTTGCCATAAAATGTTATTCTCTGAAAAAAGAAGAAGGTGAGTGTTCGATATGCATAGAAATAAAAATATATTTGCACACACAAAGAAAAAAACATGGAAAAGAAACACTACGTTACCAAAAGGTAATCCAACATGCGTCGACAAGACAAGAACTAAATACAGCACTCATTAACGAGGGGGAAATCTCTAAGACTCTGAATTGCTGTTCGAGTTCGCCTGTTGAAGTTGTTGGGATAGTCCGGACGCGCAAGGAAAGTGGCACGGCTCACCAGTGGTTCATGCAGATGAACGGTCCAGCGAGGAAGATGTTGTGACCGGAGTGCACAAGCTCAGGCCCCTAGCCCGACGGCTCGCTCCCGATCTCGGTGGACATCGTCATCTCTGGCACTCAGAGCGACACCATGCCGGAGACTCTGCAGTAGCCTCGGTTGTAAAATGGTCACCAGGACCCAGTGAAAGTCTTCAGCGGCAAGGTGGATGCCTTGAAGTCCGGGTACAAGCACCCAGCGAGCTCGCATGCCGCACTATAGTGGCATTCTTACAACCGCCAGCAAAACTTTTCTTCTTCCTTTTCGGTGCAGTGGTTCTTGATTCTGTCTTTTTTTCTTCATTTTTTTTTCTTTTAGTCACCCTTTCTCGCCGTGTTCTCAGAGGTAGCACGCTGTAAGTAGCCCGTCTTCATCGATCTTGCCGCGCCAACTTTAAAACATACCACAGTCGCGCACTTCACTCACAACGAGCTGGGACAGCTGATTCCAGTAATTATTTTTTTAACTGTATTCATGCAATGTTAATAATGGTTGGGAAGAAAGTAACATGGCATTAATGTGTACGATCAATTACTTTTTCAGTGTGCTTACTATCCTGCATCAGTAATTCACACCTGTGATTGTTTACACTTCTGAATGAAGAGCAACTGCCAATAAAATATACATACTGCAAATGGAACATCCTGTGGCTAGAAGCAAAAAGCGCAGCGAGTTTGTGAAGTACGATCATCATACCTTGGGCAGACATACTATTCCAGTCTGACGAGAATGTGATTGGTAAAATGAAGCAACACACATATTCAACATTGCAAGTTTTTATTACCATTCTTCTCAAGCATGAGATATCAGTAGACTCGATTCTTTAGTGCCAGTGAAAAAAAATAGTACAGGCCCCGTGTGCCTCCATCGCATCATCTGTACATGCGATGAGTATTTCTAAAAGAACGCCTTGCCTAAGACGCGTGCCCAGTGTATTTCAGCTGCATCTTGGGTTCACAGAGATGAATATTACAAAAAAAATTCGCCCATGCAGAATCACAACTTCATTTACAAATCAAGAGCTTAAAAATATCCTTTTTCTTACAATATATATATATATATATACACTGTACAGTAATGATGACGATGGGGGAAGCACGCAAACTTAACAATTACATTATATCGTACATAGTATATACACGTCGATTTAACTTACACACGGGACCACAATCTGTCCCCAATATGGCTTAGTAATTAAATACAATTAATTGTACAAAATTTCTCAAGTGAACTGGCATGATTTGTAAATATTACCATTCGTTTGCACACAAAGGGGGGAACGGAGAGAAGGGCAAGACAAAACAATAGGACAATGCATGGACTTGGGAGCTAAAACTGCAAATTGCCTTTTGCATGTTATTAAAATAGAGCAAGAATTAAAAACTTCTGCATTACACAGGTCGAACTAGCCCCCCACCCCCTTTTTTTTCTTTTTTTCCACCTCTAGAAATCAACAAAAATGTATCTCCATTTATGCCCATGTGACCGGCAGACTGTTGCGACTACTGCAACCAGCCTTGCAATGTGCACTGCACATAATTATGTGCATATTTTAAAAGATCTTGCTTCATGATACGCAAAGCTCTGAGCACCAGTTGTGTATGTTAATGTGCACACACACACACACACATATATATATATATATATATATAATGATACACGTAAGTATATGGTACAACGATATTCGATCCAAGTGCTGCTTCTGCAAGCGTTTACTTTTGGCAATAAGCAATGGTGTCAACAATAACAACAATATACCGTAGTATAATAAAATGATCATAAAAACGATTCAACAAATTACAAACAAAGGAGCAGAACAGCATGCTACAGCAACATTCACATCCAATGTAAGATATGAATAAAAAACAAACTCCTGTACATGCGTAATATACGACGCAACACCGGAACACAGCTTCAATAAGGAAGGGTATGGCTTTGGGAAAGGTCACCAAAAAAGGAAAACTATAAAGGTGTTGAAGTGGGGAGGGGGCTTTCACCACGATGACGATGACGCCTGAGAAACGTATGTACAGATGATCGTTGTAGCACTCCTTCCACACAGGTCCCATATATACAGCACACGCATGTAAGTAGAAGGCAGGAAAGTGTTCGGCCTGGTGATGGGTTCAGCGATGAAGAACACTTTGGTGCACGGCAGGGTAGTGGCAACAAGTGTTTTTCTGCTACAAATGGCTGGGTTACTTTCAGCTCTGCTTCGATCTCTTTGGCGAAGATATCAAGTGGCTCTGAAAAGAAGAAGAAATGAAGACCTTTCTGAACAACTTGCACAGCACACCTGGGTTTTAGGTAGGGTGCAGGCTTCTTCGAGATGACTGGCACACAGCAGCTGAAAGCACCACTTTCTTGAAACATCCGATTGGATCGATTGAAAACACTTTAGTATTTCGCATGTAAGTTATAGAAATTGAATGGGAGGACAGCCTAATTCGTTCATCACCTGGTTCCCCCCACTGCACCTAGTTGGGCTTGTCGCCGTGTAGAATGGTTTCCCATGACTAAAACGAGATTAAAGATTATCTGCTAAGGCGCTTAGCTGGTCGGCCTATATTCTATGGTACATATTAGTCTGCGAGCTCTCCACTCTAAAAAAAAATGACAGTCTACCCTGGAAGAGTACCAAAGGTGTAAATTTTTTAAAGGGGCAGACTGCTCTTAGACATTTTTCATTTATTTCTTCAGTGATCTTAATCAAACTGCACAGAATTATGCAGTTTTTCTACTGATTTCAAATATTTAATTAGTTATTCTGCAAGTCATCTTATTCCTGAGATAACTTAAGTTCACCCCCTATTGTTTAAGGCCACCATAGAAAAAAAAGTGCTTAATTAAAAGTGATATTTATAATATCCTAACACAGAATAATGACTATAGATTGAAATAATGCAAGTTTTTTGTTTTTAAGCCTTTCTTATTATTTTACAGCAAAATTAACTATTCATTTTCAAAAGCAGTTGAAATTGTGTTAAAATTTTGATGAGTAATTAATTAAAAGGCTTGTTTTCTAAATTTTGCTCCCATACTTACACCCTACACACATACAGGTTTCCATTGCAAAAAGAATTATTGTTGTACCTGCCCTAGCTGCAGAGATATTGAGGCCTCAAAATTGAACAGTTGTAAATTTACTTTCTTGAGAAAAATGGAAAAAACTGAAAACACAAAGCTTCTTCAAAAAGCAACAATCATGGTGTGCATGTTTTGCAATCCTCATAAAAATGCTCATAAATTCGTAGCAGAGCTTCTAACACAGGTGACGGCAAACTATAAAGTGGCCTCGAAGTTGGTTCCCCATTTTTTAGCAGGTTCTGCATGTTAACAGCACCAAGAATCTGGTCAGTTAGAATGACATTACAAAAAAATTACCACTTCCTGGTGTGTAAAAATTTGCAGAAAGATAGAAAAATACTTGCAGATACCAAATATGTCAATTTTAAGAAATGATTTTTTTGTAACTTTTTGGTCCCAAGGAGCAGTCTGCCCCTTTAAGCAAGAAAAATGTGCTTCTTGTAGCATTCAGGGTGGGTGCTCCTTTAGTATACCAAGATTCACATGTGGTGGAGCAAAGGTTTCAGATCTGCTAGGAGGGCTCCCGGAATTTCTGATTGCGCTGTGGGTTTTTCCTGGGTCGCTAGGAAACACTCGTTGAAAACACTTTTTTGTGCGATGTATCAAAGTAATGAGCTGGCACTCTCTACTGGCACGACCACAGAAAAACCTCTAAGCTTGGAGGTTTCGTTTCACAAAAAAAATGAAAACACACATACACACACTTAATTGCATGTGCTTTTAGGCCCTTACCCAAAAAGCTGAGAGCTGAATGTGTTAGCTAGTCGTTGGACATGCAAAGAGAGGTGGTTTTGATTCACAGGTGGCTGTAGTTTCTCACCTTTTGCCACTTCTCGACCAACCGATTGTACTCCTGCAGGTAGAAGGCAAAGACTTCTTCACAGTCCTGCGACGCCTCATGATCTGCGGGGTTGTACGTCTGACAGTTGCGCTTCACGAGCATCATGTCCTCGTGAAATTCTGTTATGTCCCGGTACTGGCCACTCTGAAAGTTTTGAAATGCAAGCTGCTGTTTAAGTTAAACAATGTACGTTTCAGTAAATTTTACGTAAGGGCAGCACTCCAAAAAAAGGGCCAAAAAAGATGAGTGCACGAAAAGGCTTGGCATGCGTAAAATGCCATGTGGTGCATTTGTCATGTCCGGTGCAAAAATGGAGATAATGATAGCCTGGTCAATCAGAATTGGCTAGTAAATAGAAATACTGTGTATTTCCATGATAAAAAAAAACCCACACCTACCGTAATTACTCGAATCTAACGCGCACCTTTTTTACGGTAAGCGAGTTCATAAATTGCATGCGCATTAAAATCGAGAGTGAAAAAAAAATGAATACGGTCATTCTATTGCCATTGGCATTTCCAAAATGGCCGCCCCCTACGTGCTTCGGCATGGCGCATCGGCCATTTCTGCCTATGTGTTTCCCATGTGCGGTACTTCGTACGTGTGCTGAGGAGTTCGTCATCTTGTAGTTCATTAGCATCGACGGCATAGAAGGGCCGACTCCAAAAACTCGACAAGTGCATCAGGATGCTGCTTTTAAAAGGAGAGTCATCGCATGTGCCGAAACAGACGGAAATCGGGCCGCATCGCGGTCGTTCGGAGTACTCGAAACGTGCGTGTGGGACTGGCGGAAACAAAAGCAGAAGATTGTCAAAGATTCATGCAAAGGCTTCAGTGGACCCCAGCAGGGTTGGTTTCCGCAAATTGAAGAGCTGCTCGCCGAGTATGTGCTCGAGCAGCGAGCGGCACAGCGGCCCGTGACGACAGAACTGCTCTAAGTGCGGGCTATGCAGTTAGCTTTAGAAAAAGGGCTAACGCGGAGCCAGTTCAAAGCGAGCAGGTGCTGGCTAACTTTATGAAGAGGAAAGGCTTTTCCCTCCGAAAGCGAACGGGCATGCGCCAAAACTTGCCGGAAGAGTACGAAGAAAAGCTTCACAGTTTTCAGAGGTTCGTCCTAAACTTGCGGCACAACAACGGCTACCTGCTTGGGCAAATCGGGAATGCCGATCAGACGCCTCTTCGACATGCCTGGCACCACAACCGTCGAGAAGAAGGGGGCGAAGCAAGTTTGCATGCTGACATCGGGCCACGGTAAAGCAAGAGTGACGGCAATGCTCCGTTGCACGTCAGATAGGCACAAGCTTCCCTCGTACCTCATATTTAAACGGAAGACACTCCCGAGAGGAGTCGTTTTCCCGAGTAGTGTGATCATGCGGGCCAACAAGAAAAATTGGTGCGCGTCGCAATCGATATCTTACTTTTTTTTTTTTTTCGTCGTGAAAACCGAGTGCGCGTTACAATCGAGGGCGCGGTAGAATCGAGTAAATACGGTAAGTCACGAGGTAACAAAATCCAGAGACCATGCGATTGCAGGAAAAGAAAAGGTCTGCCACAGCTCTGCTTACCAATGCTCTAGTCTTCAAACTGCATAGGCTTGAGTCTGAAACTTGCCTAATTCCTGTTCTCACAGTTTAGTGTGCTGCAGCACATTCATCGGGAAAGAGAACTAAACATTCAGCCACACAACTGTGTCCCTCCGCCTTCATTTTTCTTTCTCTTTAGCACGTGTTCTGTTTTGCATAAATGTGCAACTGCTCTCTGCTGCTACATTTACACTTTCATTTATAGTACTTTTTTGTCATGACTACACTTATGTGAGCTGCGTCTTATTTCTGAACAAACCTTGAACACACCCTTTTCCAACCTTCTGTTATGTTTCGTTTAAGACAAATGGTGCACATGAGGGTCATAAATTGGCAGGAAAGGAGAGAAAATGTCAAGTAACCATGCAGCAGCTGTTTACTAAGAAGGGCACCTGGTTAATCGTTATTAGTTTTCAATTCACCATGGCAGCTGTTTAATTTTCCAGAAACAACTGGACAGCACATGAAGGTCTACATTATGATCTTCTAGCATCGAGGCGTGCTAGAAGATTATGATGTAACATTCTTCCAGCATGCTGTAAAACCTTACAAATGTGTAGCTCGGCTGTTCCATTGTGTTAATAGATGTGCCAGCAAAAACCAGCCATTAACCCTTTAACAATTTTAGATCCCCCTCATTGCACTGTCCCTGAATTGCTACGGACAAGCTTACCTCCTATGCTCGAAATATCTCCTTACGAACATTTTGAACTAGACACGCTCGTTCGCGTGCTAGCTTATGTAGCGCTTTGCAGATGGCAGCACTGACCTGATCACTTCTTTTTCTTTTAACAGGCATTTCGAATTTTTAGGAAAACAAGATGGAGAGGGGGCAACTTATGTTTTGTAGATGGTGTATGGTGAAAGCGACGAGTGCGTTATTAAACCATTGTCATGGAAGAGCTGCTCATTGTTGCCAGAGTGATTAAAATTGTCAGTGTAATGAAACCATCATCATGTTGAAAATTTCCCACAAACACTTGTTAATGTTTTTTACTGCTGATTGCCAGCAGGCAGCTGAACTTCTCTCATGAGCATCAATAAACTGGATTAGTACATTCTTCAAATATTTTCTTCAGCTTTTTAGTAAAAATGATGATGTTTGATGTTTTGTGGCGCAAGGGCCATTTCACGGGCAAAGAGTGCCAGTTCATCTTACTAAAAATATGGACAATGATTGTGATAAGCGGCTGTATAAGGGCCATAAAATTCCTCGCGGTAAGGTTGGTAAAAACATACGACTAATAAAATCATGACCATGCCGTGAAAGGTGTGTGTGGTGTGAATAGGTGACAAAAATTGGTGATAATGAAAAACGATGGTGGACATGTATGGCGTTAGCACAAGTACCTCACTCGTTCATACCCTAGCGTCCAAGGGCCGTGAGGCAAGTGCTTTCTTGTGCAGCCACCGCAGCAAAAACCTCTCTGGAGAGGTCGTGCTACGGAATGCCCGGGTATATATAAAAATTATGAATTCCTTTTTAAAAACGCTAACAATGATTTATGACTAAAAAGCGGTTCCCTACCGACGAACATTGCAGGGTGTAAAGGTATATGTTGTCGGTAGGGTAATGGAAAATGTTGTTTTCTTAGAGTTTCTAAGTCTTTGCACTGGATTAACATGTGAAGGACTGTTAATGCTTCACCACATCTGTCACACAATGGTGGATCGCCACCGGACAAAAGATATGTGTGTGTCGTGTATGTGTGTCCTATCCTGAGTCTCATGAGTATTACCTCTGTATGACGCGATTTTGATACTGGCAGCCAATGACCAAGGTGTGGCTTAATAATGTGTAGTTTGTTTTGTGTGTGTGTATCCCATTTGCTCTGCCAGTAGTCCCCGAGGTTTCGTTCGAGAGATGGCTTGAGATCAAGGGCCGGGATTGATATACCGTAGGTGTATGGGCAGTGCTTTTGTGGACGGATGCAGCGAGCTGATCCGCCCTCACGTTGCCTTGGATCTCACGGTGCCCTGGCACCCAGCGCACTACAACATGTTGTTTGAGTGTGTAGAGTGTGCACAAAATGGAGTAAAGTGAGACAAGGACTGGGTTTTTTTGTTTTTTAAGAGTGTGCAGAGCCATTACCACACTGAGGGAGTTCGTATAAATTGCTGCTTTTTGTATTTGTAATTGCTTGATGTGTTTAGCCGCCACAAGTGTCGCATAAGCTTCCGCTGTGAGGATACTTGTGCCTGGATGTAGAGGGCCAACATCCGAAAAGGATGGGCCGACAGCAGCGTAGGACACAGAGGAGTTAGACTTGGAGGCATCTGTAAAGAACTCAGGACGTGTGTATATGTGTTGAAGTTCCAGGAAGTATGTTCCAATATGGGCAATAGGCGCATGTTTTGTAACTTCTAGAAAAGACACATTGCAGTCTATAGTCTGCCACTGCCACGGTGGCGGGTATGCTACAGGAGCCATTAAACTGTGTTCAAGTGACACTCCAGTTTCCTCAGCTAGACCATTCAGGCGAACTGAGAAGGGCTGCCTCATCGAAGGCCTGTTTTGAAGCAGAATTGAGCTCGACAAATCATTAATAGTAGAGTATGAGGGGTGCTTCTTGTCTGCTTTCACCTTAAGGAAATAAACTAAGGACATGTAAGTTCTCTGCAGATGAAGCGACCACTCATTTGACTCAACGTAAAGGCTTTCTACGGGGGTGGTGCGAAAAGCACCCGTAGAAAGGCGGATGCCCAAATGGTGCACGGGGTCCAGCATCTTCAAAGCACTTTGAGTCGCAGACTGATAAACAACGGCCCCATAATCTGAGCGGGTGCAAATGAGGCTTCTATACAGATTCATGAGACATTGCCTGTCACTACCCCACGTAGTACGTGACAGCACTTTTAAAACATTCATGGCTTTTAAACATTTTGTTTTTAAATACTTGATGTGCAGTACGAAGGTCAACTTGTTGTCCAAGATTAAGCCTAAGAATTTATGCTCCGCATTAACAGACAGACGTTGACCGTTCAGTTCAATGTCGGGTTCTGAGTGCATGTCTTCCTTTCGGGAGAACAAGACACATGTGCTTTTTTGTGGGTTCAGTCGGAATCCGTTTTCCTCTGCCCATTTGGAGACCTTGTTTAAGCCTCACTGAACCTGCCGCTCACACATTGCCAGATTGCAAGATCTAAAGCCAAGCTGGACGTCATCGACATATGTACAATAAAACATATTGCAAGAATGGACAAGTGCAAGAAATTCATTTTGATGAGAAAAAGTGTGCAGGTAAGTACACCACCTTGTGGCACGCCTGTTTCCTGGACAAATGTTTGGGAAAGAACCGTGCCCACTCGGACACGGAATGTCCGGTTTGACAGGTAACTTTCGATTATGTGAAACATTCTTCCGCGCACGCCAAGGTGGGACAGGTCTCTTAGAATTCCAAAACGTCATGTTGTATCATAAGCCTTTTCGATATCGAGGAACACAGAGAGAAAATATTGTTTATGGATGAAGGCGTCTCTGATCTGTGCCTCAATACGAACAAGGTGGTCTGTGGTGGATCTACTCTCTCGAAACCCGCACTGAAATGGGTCGAGCAAATT